CGTTACGGGAATGATATAATAGAAAGATTCAGCATAGAAGCTAATGTTAAACTAATAAATGAGACCTGAAAAGAAAAATTAAAACATTACTTTTAGTAAATGGAACCCTTGACCATAAAAAATAGGCAACCCATCTGAAATATGTTTGTTAACGTGTAATGTTTGTTTCTAAATATTTATTTCTAAATAATTCTTTTCCTCCGGACTCCAGTAAGCAGATGGTAAAGCACTACCATATGTCGGATCTTAGTCTATTAGTTACTAAATTAGTATTTAGTAATTTCCTGTAATAATTGAAAATACTTTGTGTTTCGATAGTTTTTTCATTAAATTAAAATTTTGCCGGGCTCTTTTTAAAGAGGCACTTTTAACACAATGTTTCTAAGTAAAAAATGTGGCATGGCGTAGGCGCGGGCACCGCCTCCAGACGGCGACACTACCACGGTAATGTTATACATACATTATCGTGACACTACTCTTGACGAATCAATCACAATTGCTTGTAAAATTAATTTAAATAAGTAAATTTTACTTTTGATTTAATTTTATGAATATTTTTCAGAATGCTTTATGTTTATATGATAAATATATTATATTTAAATATCATTACATAAAAAATCTTATGATATTAAATGAGCAATTCTTGAATACGTATATATAAATAAATTTGTTGTGTTTCGGTAACTGCTGTAACGATTTGTATTAAGGTTTTGCTTTTTAAGTTTATCTATATAGGTATTTATTATAAAAAAAATCCATTTTTATATCATTTCCAAAAAAGGCCAATCGGAGCTCGGTCGTCCAAATTCTATAATTAAACTTTGCCAAAAAATTCATTATTGAATATGAAACAAATGAACCAACAAAGACAAACATTATTTATTATGTCGCCAAAATGTTTGTAGAAATTTTAGAATATTAATGTGCTTATGATATGTTGACGATAACTTGTATATGACAAACTTTCTAATCATTAGACGGTGATGTAACTGCGGATTTGTTAATTAAAACAAAATGTAAGAAAGACTACCTTTACTTCATAATTATTATAATTATTTTCGTTAGGTGTTACTTTCTGAAGATACTTAAATCCCAAAACTATTTTATGTATTCACACAGCTGATTGTAGAAAAATGGGTATGTGAAATAATATCTCTTAGGTTACAGCTTCGATTCTCGTACTGGCTACAAAAAATATTACGTAAAATTTCATCAAAAACCCTCCAGTGGTTTTTCGGTGATACGGTCACAGACAGACAGACACACAGACAAAAATTCTAAAAACTATAGATTCGGTCTCTGTTTCGATAATAATGTATATTACAATAAGATTTTCCAAAAAATATTTTACGTACAGATTCGGCTTAGTTATCATATACAAATATAAATACAAATTATTATATGTATAGAAAAGTGATCTAGGTCTCTATGTTTGTAGGTTAACTTTGTGACGGCGAATATATATAGCTCTTATACGAAAATTTATCTTATTTCCATACGTTTTTATCTACAGATACTCTCGAATATATTTATATGTTTTAGATATTATAAAATTTTAACTTTTAGCTTTAAAAACCTTTTTATATTCAAGATATGTAGGTATTCGGTATATTGAGATGTGGTCAAACAGTTGTCTATCACTGTTCTTCATATAACTATCTACATAGAAAATTTGATAAATAAATAATATATTACACAATATATGTATATGTATGGGTATAGTGATGCATATCTTATATATATATATATATATATATATATATATATATATATATATATATATATATATATATATAAAACCGAATCCCTATTTCCCTTGGTCACGCCATCACGCGTGAACGACTGGACCGATTTAACAAAAAAATTTTTGTTCTATTTGTTATTGTCAGGAGAAGGTTTTTATGAAAGAAAAAAATTAAAAAATTGCGCGAAAAATTATAAAATTTAAGAATACTTATTTAATAACAACCATATTAAAATTTATATGGCTAACCCTGGATAATAACTATTTATATATATTCAAAACGAACCCGAGCGAAGCGAGGGTGAGTCGCTAGTTACATAATAAAAATGGGAGAGTCTAAAGTAATATTTGTCCAAAACAAATAGTTTTACGATCAACCAAAAACTTAAGCAAAGTATTTCTGAAAAATTAACATTATATGTGCATACCCATATCTTTTATGAGCAATCAAAATTCAAATATTCCTCTAATGAATATTTGATACGTCCTTAATCATTCGAATTCTTTAAAAATTATTAAAAATAACAATAACAATCACAAAGTGCATAAAAAGGATAAAATATTCGAGAGCCAAATAAATTAAACAAGTAGTTCAGTGTAGAGATATTCCAATAAAATTTAAATAATCTATAAGTGAAAGTCGCTGTTAATGGCGCGGGTTCGATAAAATCTAACACGAGACAATTCACACGTGATAATGTTGGCTAGAGAATAGGTTGATGAGATGCTTGCAACTTACTAATTTAAAAATATGAATAATCATTTAAATAAAGCAAAAATCGGGCTCACAGCCGTGAGTCTGATATATCGAGGGTTCCATAGCATGAAATATTAAGCTTTATAATTTGTTACATTTAAAAGAAAGTAAAATATTTACTCACCTTATAATATTATTGACTCTAGAAATGTTTTTCTTGAAAATATTTTGGAATTTTCCATACTTTAAAATTTAGAACAACAATTTTAGAAGCATACAGCTCGGCAATTTTTGGCCTAAATCAAAAAGTCACTTCGAAACATCTATTTCAATTAAAGACTAGAAATATCCAGCTGCTTATGTGGACTTGAATGTTTTTCACCTTTCACATGAGACCTACTACCAAGTTTCAGGAATATAGCTGGCCTGTAGCAATATAGTCGGCAAATAAAATAATTTTAACAAACGGACTGACGAACAAATGGACAGACGGCCAGACTTGTCTTTTGCCTACGAAACTCTAAAAAATTGATCGACTGCTAGTCAAACTCATGTAGGGAATTCCGTACACAATAAAGTACAAAACCTTACAGCGTACAAACTTTCCTACAAATAGACAGACGAATTCGTGTTTACTGTATTTCGTAAATGAAACGATGTATGGATTTTTTTCTTATTAAATGTAAAGAACTGATAGAATATTATTAGAAATTCTCACTTTAAAATATGTAATTGAGACAACGCCTGCAAAGGCTTTAACTTTAGCCTTTTCGTTCTCAGAGTGATGCCTTAAAGAGACCGCTTACGTAATAAGGCTGCCTGCTATGCATCTTTTTCTAGTGATTTGATACTCTATTTAGGTCTTTTGTGGCGTATAAGAACAAGTACTTATTATCTATCTATCTAATATCTATGCAGATAATAAAATGTATGCAGAAATCATACTTTAGCAACCTTATGACACAAGCTATATCATGATCCTAATTGTCGTGGAAAATCTAGTATGTAAAAGATGACGCGCGATAGCCGAGTGGATAAGCCACTTCGTAGGTACCACATTGTTGAAAGCCTGGCCTCACTACCTACATAATTTATTCGAAATCCATCATTAATTTAATATTTTAAGTATGTTTTCGATAGTAAATATATGTTAATGTTCGACCACGATGGCAAATTATTTTTTAAATTGATAACAAACATGTAATTTTGTTTCAATTTAAATTTCTAGCCTAATTTAATAATGTCCCCAAATATTTACGCATCGCTTGATCTAAAGTCTCAAACTCAAAATATGCTTATTCTAAATATTTTTTTAATGTTCAATATTTGATATTTTTACTTAGTATTAGTTTGGTCGTTTCGTGAGGAGTTGTGTCGTCATGCACAGATAGCATAATCTGTGAGAAGGTTGTTTCCTGCTCTTTTGTACTTCTTGAACTCCTGTACTTCTTGTTTTTACTTTTGTCCTAACAGGTCCAAATTATTAAAACTTTTCGCATATATTTAGAACTAAGCTGAAAATGAAGTAATTAAGTAAAAACTACAACAGTTTGTTATTTGATATGTATTTAAACCATTAAAGTACTCGTATTTGAAACACATTAACGACCTATTTTAGTAGGATATGAGGGTAACATCACAAGCTTATAGACACGTGTGTCTTACAAAGATACACACTTATAGGGCATTCCACGCCAAATCGGACGGTTTCAAAAAAATTTTTTGATTTTCTTAATATTTTGATATTTTTAGTACCTCTTAAAACAGGCTTTTCCAAATTTCAAAATTTACCAGGAAGCCTCTTTTGAGAGGTACCTACTAAAATACCAAAATATTAAGAAAATCAAAAATAAAATTTTTTGGAACCGTCTGATTTAGTGTGGAATGCCCCTTATATACTATATTATGTTCCTACTCCTCTTATATCGAAAATACTGGTTTACATACAATTTGTCTCATGCTTCTTTACCTGCACTAAGGCAGCGTACACTTATTGAAAATTAACACTTATAAACTTCAATTATTAAACAAATTTTCACTATATCATAATTTTCTCTATTACGTACCTACATATTTTCGACTTTCAATAAATTTCATTCAAATAAACCTCGCCGATTTACGACAGATTACGTGAGATTACGACAGATTCATAAAAACAATTGTATATAATAAAACAATAAAGTGTATATAAATAAATGATTGCTACATATTTCGTTTTAATAGAGATTTTACAACTATAGTTCTAAAAAGATATGTACGTATAAATTGATAATCAAACGTCAAACTACTGTCTATCTTCCAATGAAAATTGTATAACATACATAATTTTTGTTAAAATTTGAAATATATACATATTTTTTGACTTTACTTATCCAGTTACATGTATAGCTGCACACTGAATTCTTCTACGGTAATTCTTTCGTGTTTTTTTTCATACAGTTCTGTAGATATTCCATTAAAGTTTCTTATACCACACGAATATAAAAGTATTTGTAATATATCAAAGACAAATCTAAACAGAGACACAAGAATATTAACATTTTTATAATATAAGGTTTAGTCGCTAACGGTTATAGTTAACTGCTTAGCTTTGCTCGTCTCGAAGCGGTCCATGGTTTTGATGTCCATTATCATGGAGATTGATATGGCGAGTCCGATCACTATGATGAATGTCACCATCAGTCCAGACCTAAAACAAAAATTTCTTAATAATTTCATAGCATAGTTTAATTTATAAAGTATCTTTCCCACTTTTTACCCAACTGCGGCGCCCAAAGGAGGATTATACGTGTGATCCGTATTCTTGTATATATTTATATCTGATCCTAAGTTCCCTCGTAATTACTAAACGTCTTAACACCTCCAGGTAAATTTCTAAGAAATTAATTAAAATTCTAAGAAATCTATTGTTAACTGACACGCCGGCGTGTCCGCGGTTGTGGAGGTATTATCCGATTTTAATTTATTCATACGTCGTTATAGTCGTCTTGATAACGCAAGTTTCATAAGGTATATATATATATAATATTAAAAATAAAAAGGGCGGATGTTAAGTGCCAATTTGTATCTTAAAAAAATTATCTATATAATAAATATATATATATATATATATATATATATATATAATTTTTATTATTATTGTATCAAATTGTATCAAATTACAGGTTTTTAAGAGGCGATTACAAAAATATCTACAACTTATACGTTTAAAAATAATTTAGGATAAGATATTGTTATTTAAAAAAAATATCTAACGGCGCAAATCTAAAAAGTTGTAAATATAAAAATAAAAAAACCGACTGCGTAAAAAGTGAACTAAAAAAGATGAGAACAAGTTGACGAAGGAGCAAAGTATTATGTAATTGATTTTAATAAACCTCTCTTTTCCCGCTCTTTGTAAATGATCATCTCAATTATACATCTTACATCTTTATAATAAATGATTTGTTTGTAGATAAGTCTGTAACATTTTTTCCTAGAAGAATATAATTTTGCAGACTATTCTATAAAAAGTCATGACTCTATTTCTGTATACTACTTCATTGACCGACTTCAAAAAAAGAAGAGGTATTCAGTTTATTTTTTGTGTACTACTTCAGACTATTTCATTGACTGAGTTAAAAAAAGAGGAGGCTTTGGCTTAATCGATTTTTTTATGTTTATTATTTGTGAATCGGTTTTGTTAATTCTTGTTTAGTTAAATATATATTTTAATTTAAAACAAGTAAGGAAATTTTATTCGGGTTGGATGTGTCTTTTTGTTCAAAGTTATTATAGACGCACAAATCTAAATATTTTATATTACTTTCAATTTCACCATGGCAAGCAATATATTGTACAGTATTTTACATATCTTAGCCGAATAAAACCATAAATCGAAAGTATCCAATAAAACCATATTCCAATAGGTGAGAAAACCAAATATAAAGCAGATCGATACAAGTTTACAACTTCATAAAATGTACTCGAGTAATATTCTATTGTTTAAAAATATTTTTGTACACGCCTTTATTGCTTTAAATATTAACTTTTTTTGGGTCAGTGGTAATTTCAAGGGATTAAGAATCTTTCAAGGACGAGATGCTAAACGTGACGAATTTTCTTACGCAGTATCTCTTTCCTTGAAGTCCTCGTATTCGGATAGTACTTCTTATGACAGCTTTATATCCTTCTGCACTGGAAGTATTATTACACCGATATGGGTTTTGACAGCTGGACACTGTACTGTAACTGTACAAACTTTTATTCACCCTCCAAATAATCCCAGCAAATATACTCCGATACGAAAACCAGTTATTCAATACGTTTCTCCATTGAACTATAACTGGACCTCCAGCAATGTAATTAGGACTATCCTACATCCCAATTTCAAATTAACAGAAGATGTTGTCGTAAACGATATAGGGCTAGTGAAAGTACAAAATACAACAGTTACAACGTATGGAAAAATCAGTTCAGTCCATTTCGGCTCGATGTATGGGCATAAAGTGTATTCACTTGGCTTAGGATTGATGAAATCTGAAAGCGGAAAGATAGATAATGCTATGAACCTCAATAAACCACTTCAAGTATATGATGCGATAGTTGTGAAGTGTGGGCGGATTAAAGATTTTGTTGGATCGTCGTCGTTTTGTTTAACTTGGAATTGCCACATGCCATCAACAAGCTGTCGCGGTGATTCTGGTGGACCGATCATACACCCATCTGGTATTGTCGCAGTTACCACAGGAGGCGACAATATCTACTGTAATACAACTGAAATATCTCTTACTGCTAATATAGTGACACCTGTCAGTCCATATATTGACTGGATAGCTAGAAGTATTAAAGGAACTTAGTGTTAATTATATATTATACTTTCTAGTGATCCTGATGAGTGTAATTTGTTTGCGTTTCAAGTTAAAACGATTCGAAGATTTATGCGTTTTAATGTTTTTAGTTTTGTTAAAAAAGATAAGGACACCTATCCATATCGGAAAGTCGCCTCGATTTTTGCGGTACGGTTAAAGGCTCTATCTATCCCTCACACCTATTTGGAATCAGGAATGTTTTTCAAGCTCTGTTACACCTTTATTGCTTGAAAAAACAATGGATTTCCTTTCTATCAAAGTGTTAGTGTTAATATAATTTAATGTTCTTTGGAGTCACTATGTCTTACGTATTCTTGATGCCAAATGGAGAGGAGGAATAGAGCTCGAGTACATCTTCAATAAATAAAATATATACCTACATAAAATCGAAAATTGTTACAATAATTAGAATCATCAAAATAGTCCTAAGATTGAGTTAATTTTGCAAAAACTCAATTTTTGCATCATCAATTATTGTTAGGTCGACAAAACCAGTTAGAATGTAAGATTAACGATTAATCTTGTATGCTCCATTTATTTTACTTAAGATTAAGGGCCAAGTTCGATGCAAATGACAACACCATGAGGGGTCACTAAAAAGTTGAGATCTAAATAATAATTGTTTTATTTTAAAAAAATCACATACGGTAAAAACTAAAAGCTTGCAAGCGTTAGTAAATATTTTCTCTTTCTATTATCGCAATAAAAATAGTTTCCAAACGATAACCAATAAATTATTATACGGATATCTTATAATGTCCCTTAAAATATTCAAAATAGACCTCTTCAAAATTTCTAAGAATATATTGAGCCCTTTTAACCTTCTACCAATATATGCGGCGTAAAGTGAAAGTGTTGTTGGTCGAGGAAATTGCCTTTTTCGGTTTTAAGATAACGAATTGACGGATGCGTGATAATTAGAAAAACAAACATATGATAACTTGAAGTAGAGTTTGAAAGGGCTTACGTGATTTGTTATTATTTTAATTTGTTATTAGTAATTAGTTTTTAATATTTAATTCAGCATATTCCATTCGTATGGAGATTTTTGACACGTTTCTTTTAGGTCTAATTAAATCTAAGTCTATAATTAAATCTTGGAAACTGGTTTTAACTTTATTTTGATTCTAACATCGCTGTTTTACATTTTTTAAATACAGTAAATTTATACCATTGAGCTGGTCTGATAAAGTGGAAAGATGTGGGAAAGCGTACTTCTTCAGTTTTTTAAAACCATAGTAAAAACTATTTTTCATGATATCCATTTTATATATTACTAGCGGCTCACCTTCGCTTCGCTCTTGTTCGCCTCAAAAACTAAAACAAATCTAGCCCTCGGGAACCGTATATTTTTCCGGGATAAATAGTAGCCTATGTATGCCTATTATTCCAGATTATAATTGATCTCTGTGCCAAATTTCATCCAGATCCGTTCAGCCGTTCTGGCGTGATTGAGTAACAAACATCCATATATACACACAAACTTTCACATTTATAATATTTATACAGATAAACACAAACATGATGATGAGGATTGATTATGGGAGTTTTTTATATCACTCAAGTGCCAAGAATCAGTTAATTAAGTTAGATCGAGTACAAAATCAAGCAATGAGAGTGGTCGGAGGGTTTATTAAAAGCACACCAATCCATGTAATGGAGAGTGAGCTGTGTATCCAACCTCTATCAATTCGAAGACGATTTCTTGCGGAGAAATTTTATTTAAGATCTAAAACTATAAGTAACAATGTAACTATCACTATTTTAGAAGAACTGTCCGACCTATGCCAAGGAGGTTACTGGAGAAATAAAAACAATCCATTGTTAGTAAATGTACACAGAACGTATAGACAAGTAGACATGTATTCAAATGATATTCCCCATGTGTTTAGTTTAAGTACGTGGCCTAATAATATTGATTTATCAAATGTACTATATAATGAAGTCCCTGGAATACTAACTGCTAAAAGACTAACTAATGTCATGGAACTTAGAGTGTTATGTTTGGAATTTATGAATAATAAATACTGTTCACACTATAAATTGTATACAGATGGGTCTAGAGATAAAACATGCATGGGGGCTGCTTTCTATGATCCTCAGGAAAATATTTCAAAAAAATTTAAAATCAATGTTAATATTTCTATTATGAATTGTGAACTTATAGCTATTGCTGAGGCACTTTCATATTTAACTAATATAGAAGCAGGAAATTTTGTTATTTTTACAGACTCAAAAAGCAGCCTCCAACATTTGGCTCAGATACCCTCGAATTGTCGAGGCATCCCGTTAGCCATGATTATAATAGACAAAATTTGTAGACTACGTGAAACGAATAAAAATGTTGTTATTCAGTGGATACCTTCGCATATAGGGATTATGGGAAACGAGGAGGCTGACTGCGCCGCTCGTCAAGCAGCTTATGATGGTACACCTTATACCTGTTTACCTTTACCTTCAGACTTTCTGGTAAACGTGAAGTTATTATGCAGACAAACATGGCATGAATATTTTGACGAGCGGTCACTTACAAAAGGTATTTGGTATAGAACGTTGCAGAGTGAGCCTCTTCGTCACCCGTGGTTTGACAATATAAGAAGAAGATATGTGGTCGCTTTATTGAGGTTGAGATCGGGTCATATTCCTTCAAACAAATTTACATATCTAATGGGTTTATCGGAATCTCCAAATTGTGAAATATGTGGAACCATGGATGATATACAACATGTTTTGATGGAATGTGAACGGAACTCGGATGAACGTCGACATATTTTTACTAAAAATTATCAAGTAGGTCTGTGCAATAGTATCTTGGCTTGCCCCTTATCGGAGCAAGCAAGGATGCTTTGTACATTGCTATTTGCCATACAACGTCATGAATAGGTTTATAGTGTGAATTGTAATTAAGAATGTGTTCATAAAATATGTAATTTTTATTACGGGGGCGACATAATCACTGAGTGATAAAGCTCCTTCAAATAAAGAGAAAAAAAAAAAAAAAAAAAAAAAAATAAATCCTAATATTCACTTAACCGGAAACCACCACCATTTGTAACTTCCGTTAGTTATCGTAATGCGTTACTTAATCAAATATCTGTGCCTCCTGTGACAAGTGATATAAGTCAAAAATCTACATTTTACAGGAGAGCAAAAACAAGATTTAAAAAATTCTAGTTCGCGATTTAAGTTGGCTAGGTTAAACTTGAGTACCTTATTTTGTAGATAAAAACATTCACTTTCACTTTACGTTTAAATTTTTCTGGTAAATATTATAGTTTTAAAGTAATTATTGAAAAACCTGTGAGTTGTACCTTTTTTATTTACATACTAAAATTACGTGATAAATGGTACAAGTATAGGTAAATTATGTTGCACCTATAAATTGTCGTTGTGTAAATTGATATACATGAAGTAAAAATATCTAATAACTCATTGGAATATGTTCCTAGCGCAATGTTGCTCAAACAAATGATAAATATACTACCCCAAAGATGAGATTTTTTTACTTATCAGTCCCCTATTCTCATATTTTAGCTGAATCGTATCTTGCTTCTTTCGTACTTTGCTAAAATCTTGGCTTTTTGAAATATGTGTTAAAAAATACAACTCAAGTTATACCCCTCACTAAAATGCATATTTATTGTGTAAATAAATACAAGTCTTAGAAAAACAATCATCGTTTATTAAACTTCTTCAAAATCAATAATTCACTTACAAATAAGGTACAGTTTTATCAAAACTCTTAAGAGCGGTAAATTGAGATCTTATCACCATCAGTTTCGAATACGAATGTAACTTAACTATTCTCAATGGGAACTAATATAGTTTCACAAAAGTTAGATAAAAAGGCGGTGGTTCCGTGGTCAGAACTGTTCGTTCTTATTCAACGTAGTACTAGATGTTGTCTCGGCATGCATCCAGGACCAGCCTCCATGGCTGATGGTGTATGCCGATGATATAGCGCTCGTTGATAAAACCCGTGTAGAGCTGGAGCGTAGGGTGAACCTGTGGAAGGGTACGCTTGAGAACGACGGTGTCAAACTAAATATTGCGAAGACCGAGTATATGGCTTGCGGGAGTCTGGACTTCAGCACCATCCACATAGGGCTTGAACCAGCCGTTAAGTCTAAGAAAGTCAGAAAACATCGATCACGAAGTTTAAGCCTGTATAAGGGAAGCTGGAGGTCACAGGTGTGGTTTGTGATCGCAGAATACTGTCCAAGTTCAAGGAACAGATAAACAAGAGCATCATTCGACCAGTCCTTTTATACGGAGGCGAGCGCTGGGAAGCGCTATCTCAACATACTCCGGAGCTTCACGTCACAGTCAAGTTCAGTTGAAGAGCATCTTCTGAGGTGGTGTGGCCATGTCGCGCGTCACCAAATCACCATCCCTGGATGATTCTGTAAGGTTCAAATCATCATAGGTTTTTTTCAATCGTTGGTATTTGTATCGTTTGTCTTATTATTATTAATAACCATTTCTGTTAAATTCTCTGCAGATTTTTCTGAATTTTTGTGTTCGTGGATAGTAGGGACTGGACTTTCTATAGGTTTTACTGGCAGCGATCCTTTAATAAGTTCTCTTACATGATATCCGTAGTCATCTTCATTGGTATTATTATTTTGTTCTGTTCGTTCAATTTCAGCTTTAATATGGTCTTGTGACTAGTTCGCCATGTGACTAGTGGCTAATTCCATAATTTTAGTAATTCGAGATTTCGGAAATGATAATAAAAATAAACGTCTGTAAGAAGGTACACCTAAGGTACCTGATTCAGTTCGGCAACTACTAATTACAACTGTCCGTGTGGTGATGGATTGAGAATACTGAAAATCACCAACCCTACATTCTGAGGGTGTCGTAAACGACGACTAACCACTTGACAGTCCATGCGCATACCATCATAAGACCCAAAACCAAACCAAATTAAATCCCAAAACCACAACAGTTAAAAGGTTATAGGTGTCTCCCAGCACTTGTATCATTTAGCACGTCTTGTTCTTCATACATTTTTGATTTAGATTTGGTTTGAGTTTTAGATACAATTTAATTTATATTCGTTTACACACAAAGGTTGATTTATACAGAATTAGTATTAGTAGGTACATGTTGAATTGTACCCTAATCATTATTGAGAAAAATCTGTTCAAAGTGATATACGAATAACTCTAATAATATCAATATTCACGATAGATTTACAAAAAAATAAAATGTGAAAATTAATACAATCGCACTTATACCACGAAGCACGAAAAATAGTGTGTGCAACAATTACTTATAGAGGTTACAACTTGAAATATATCTATATTCACTATCGTGAATATAGATATATTTCAAGTTGTAACCTAAATAAAATATCTTTTTGCAAAAATCTCGCCACTTATATCACTATGCACAAAATTATCTCCGAAACTATAGTAGATAGAAGAACGTGAGTTAGACCAAAAAAATCCTAATTTTTTTCTGATTATTTCTATGTAAAAATCACAAAAAGGGTACAACTCGACTTATATCACTCATCACAGGAGGCACAGATATAATGGCACTAAAGATAGAAATTACGACACCAAATAAACGCAGCTTATATTTTTAAACAAACTTATCAATAGCCGGTCCTTCACTGGCTCCGTATCAACTATGTTATTCAGGTACTTTTTAACCAACTTCAAAAAAGGAGGTACTTATATTCGAGGTACTTCAGCAGTTGTGAATCGATTTTCATAATATATATTTTTTTATGTATACGTTAGTCTACGGTGGTTACATGCGAATTTCGGAAGAAACATCCATGTTTAAAAGTGGTATCATTATTTTCAAGTGATTTGAAGCCGGCGCATTTATTTCGTTAAACAGTAATCATAAACATAACGGTTTTAAGAAGTATAATACGATTTCTTACCAAATAGGTACGGTGGTGAAACCAATACAGTCGAATGCATCCGCAAATTTTTCAGTACTGTCCATGAACGGTTGCATCTATAAAAATAATAATTGTTTTTTTTTAATTTAACTCAATTAAATTTTTAATAATTTTCCAATTTATTAAATAAAATATAATATAATTATAAAGAAAATTGATTCATGATAAAGATATTCGTAGAAATCACATAGGATTTGAACCCGGAATATAAAGGTTGGCGCCATGTAGCACTTCTCTTAGTTCATAAAATTTATTCATATAAAATTTAAAATTTATTCAGATATTCTACAAAAATTACTAAAATCACTACAGTCAGATAAAAATATAAAATTTCCGTAGACCTACCCTTATATCGGGCATGGTGAGGGTAGCTTCTTCAGATGCATACACCAGAGGTAAAGAGCAATGATAAGCTTTTCCCAGCACCGCTGAGGGAGCGTGAGGAGGTGGTGGACCTTGGAGGTTCAGTCCCGGACCTTCATACGTGAGCTTTACTTCTACACCCATTGCTGTCCACCATCCCCCAGATTGTTTGAAAGAAAATTCTAGATAAATCTGCAAAAATTAGAAATATTAAATAAAAAAATCTAAGCCTACGAGTATAATATAACAATAGGATCAAGTTTTTGCTGTTTTTGTAAGTTACGAGTGCACGTATTACAATAAAATTCCCTCTGAAATCTAATCTAATATCTAATGAGACAGAATTTAGTTTTCCTATTTAAAAACCTTTACTAAATTTTATATCAACGAATCAAAATATTGTCAAAGAATTATGAAAATCGGTTAAGAATTATTGATAATCAATCTGTTTTTAAAGTCAGTCAAGTAATACTACTAGCTCTAGTAAGTTTTACTGCTCAGTAAAACTTACCTTATCCCTCGTACTATCTCCATGTGCGAACTGCAAAACAAGTATAGTGTAGAGTCGGGTGGCCTTCACTGTCGCGACTCCCACCGGCGTGTCGAGCACCATCACGGTGCCATTTGCCCACTTCAGCTCTGGCCAGCCCGACGAGTACATCAATATGCCTTTACCGTTCACAACTGAAATACCATTATACTTTCTTAGATTTACACGAATATTTGACATCTATACATACTCGTATAATTAAATTCTAAGTGAGTCGAATCTGTACATTAAATTTTTTTTGGGAAATCTTATTGAAGTACCTAGTCATTATTATCTACGAGTATACTAAACTTAAATAAAACTATGTTTTCAAAATTATTATTATTTTGTGGGTACGTGCTGTCTATAGCAACTATATAAAGACCTTTGAGACGTCTAAAATCTTAGTCTCTCAGTGACCATGATTGCGAAAAAATCCGAAAAGATAGTTTTATTTAAAATGAAATATCATTAGTTATAGAAGTGAATTAAGAGGTAAATATATATTAAATAACTACTACAAGAAGCTTGCTTAATTGAAATGTGGGTCACCCTTTGGGGTCTATCACTTGTCGTATTTTATAACAACAACAAAAAAAAAACAAATTAATAAGCTTACGGACAATTTAATTATTATTATCTAGTCTTACTTTTGTACTTGAAATATACGAAATATACGTTACTAAATATATTACAAAATATTAATCATTCAACCATTGTTTGAAAAACCAAATGATGCGGGTTCCAATACTAGGTCTCTGATATTTTCAGTAAACTATTTCCCCATGATAACCGTCCGCCTTACAGTGAAGGAAAACATCGTGAGTAGACATGTGAAGGCCGCAAACCTGCACTTGGCCAGCGTGGTGGACGATGGCCTTCACCGGCTTACATAGAAGAGCGCCCAGCAGTGAGACGTTAAAAAAGAGCTGAATAACGAATATATGTATAACAAAATATAACATATTCTCACCGCTAGCATTGTAAAAAGGAAATTTAGTATATATCCGGGTTGGTCTCTCTTCCTCAGTAGCGGCAGTGGTAGTCGAGTCCTCCGCCTGTCTGCGCACGCGGACCCACTCGCCGTCGTAATCTGAGATTTGGCTTTGAGATACGGAGTTGCCTGGAATACAATAATTTTCGTTTGAACAAGATTTATGTAGTAACCATGTAGATTTTATGGGCTGTGGTTGGTAATTTGCCAAAAGATAGCGCTGTCTATATATGATATTATACATAGAAAAGTGAAAAGGAACAAAGAAAACCCTAATGAAGCAGGGTAATTTCCTAGTACATCATACAACAAAGTTCGAATATCAATAATAGGATTTTCATTAGGTTTTAAGTACATTACTACAATTATTATATCATTATTACAATTTATTTCAATTCAATTCTCTTGTAACTTACTGGCTTAAAAACAATTTATTTAACAACTTCTGAATATAGTCAGAATAAAACCATTAAGAATTAAATCTGTGAATATAACGTCTTGTAAGTATATAAAAATTATGTTATAATTTATATTTGTAATTTAAATATAATATATATGTATGTGCGGACGCTAGAAGCACGTAATGAATAACTAGATTTTATGCCTAACTTTTACTACTTCCCGTTCTCATTATAAGCAGGATATGACTGAATAAATTGTAGAAACTAAGATTGGTCACTTCCCGAGATTTTACTTGAATTATAGTTTTACTTTTACTACTTTGTTGGAGTAATGTAAATGAACATGTTATAAAAAAGAAATGGAAGGATGACTAGAAAATTCTATTTGACTATCTCGCGAATCTATCTGGACTCTGGAGACACGTAGCTATACTCGCAAGAAGGATAAAACATGTAGGTAGTATATCTCCGACTGCATAATACCTACTATTTTTCTTCGTTAACATGTCCCCTTCTTTTTAGTTCGCTTTTTACGCAGTTGGGTTTTGTTTATGTTTTCATATATTTTTAAATCATTTTGTTTTTTTTTAAAACGTTTTTGTTACTTTAAGTATTTGTTTCATGTAGCGATAGAACGCAGAGTAATATATAAAAATGATATTTAAACCGACTTCAATAAGAGGGAAGAACTCAATTTGTATTTTTTTTTATTATACATCGATTATGGTTTTTTTTATTACATATTATTACTTTGAAGTTGTAATCTTTTTTGTAATTAATGAGTAATTTTATTTACCTAAAACTCCCAAGACCCGGCCCGCGCCGTAAATATCCTGAAGCCTGGCGAAGGTCTCTGTCATTTGCGCGTCGCGCTCTGACCACGGACCTTGTAGAGTCAGTACCTGAAGTTAATATATATTTTATAGCTTTTAAGATAGAAGTTAAACGCTTCCGCTACTAGTACACTGTTTTGACGAATCCATAAAGCTAGGTATGTCACTCATGTATAGTCAAGCTTTTCATTAGCAAATGAATTTTGAGAACCAATTTACTTTTTTCAAATGATATTTTCTATATACAAACAGATTTTATAACAGTGCTGATTACTATATAGAGAACTATACTATACATATAGAGAGTCATCTTAAACCGACACAATTATGTCGTTAGTTTGTCTATTTATATCGTTAAGAAACTACATTCATTGACTAGCATAGCACATTTAGTGATTTACAAATAAAATTCACAGTATTAGATGATTGAATTGCAACGAAAATGTGTAAAAAAATATTTGGTCACATTTAATAGGCTAACTCTACGAGCGCCTTTTAATTTTAAATAGCAACATTTTATTTTTCTAACCTGCGTTTCATTGCTGATGTAATCAGGATGTACATCAAGGAAGTCCTGCGGAAGAACTAACGTAGTTTGACCTTCCAACATCTTCCTCAGTCTAGGAAAGTTTCCGCTAGATAGAGGTACTGAGTCCTGGTTGTTAAACACCACAATTGCTGCCTGTTCCCCATAAATCCTCATCAAGTCATCCTGGTCTAAAGACTTGAGGGCTGGTCTTCGATACCTTTCAAGGGATTTAGGTCCAAAGAATAAGAAGGGACCTTCCAAATTCCCATAGCAAACGTAACATAGCGATAATATAATTAGTATTTGTAAATGCATGGTTTTCATATCAGAATGTCCGAGAAATGGTGTTTGTATGGGGCTTATATTGATTTATTTCCGCGCATGCGCTTCTAGCGCACTTTAGGGGTTGATTTTAGGGAGGAATATATATTTCTTGTTTTCATTTTTAAGCTTTGTTAATAGTTTATTAAAGCAATATAAAAGTTGTTTTAATTTCATATGACTTAAGATAATATTTTCTTTGAATTATTCGTAAGTTTTTTGTATTTAATTATTTTAGTTTAAAAATATACACACTTTATTTTGTATAAATCATACAACATTTTGTCTTATATTTATTTACATACTTTACGAAATTAATTATTTTACTTAAATACGAAACTACATCGACCTTTAAGACTGGCAACTCTCGTTTACTCTCGCTCCATTTGCGCACACACAGAAAACAGTCACAGTATAAAAAATATGGATTAGTGTCTATTATACAGCTAAATCGTTTCTTTGTCAAATTTGTGATAAGGCCATTTAATGGTGCGATTCTTAAATGGTATATTATTTAACCAAGACTAAAACGCACATGCTCTATTGAAATAATAACTATGAAGCATTAGCCTGACGTTTTTTTATTACGTTCCAAAAGTAATAGTGCACTTTTTGGAATTTATATTATAACAGCTTTTACTTTGCTTAGTACAACATACGGAATAAATACATATAATCTGTAGCAGATATCTTTTTAACTTTATGATATTCATCTTCTTCATCTTCACTGGGTTTTTTTTTATTAATTGACTACAAAAAATCTTGTAAAAGTCTAACTAAATTATTTTTTAATGATGATTATATATTTTTTTATACATAACTTTTAAATCTATACATATTATAAATATAAACAGTAAACACCCATGACTGGGGTACAAATATTCGTGCTCATCATACAAATGAATGCCCCCAGCGGGACTCGAACCCGCGACCGCTGTCACAGCAAGTATTCATTTGTTTATTGTCATGATTATATGTACATATACATACATATGATAAGAAAACCCCTTGCTCTTACACTCGTATGAACAGAATTTAAGGAGAATATAAGGTTAAAATAAAACCATACAATTATAAACACAACATTTATTGTACAAAATAAATTATATACAGTTATAACAATATTATACAACTACAGTACGATATGTCTCACAATGTAAAGGATTGTGACCAAAGCGACGTTGATTGTTGGGACGGTTGATAATGAAAAACTCGGCGAGAAGAAGAAAGAGGTCTCTGTAAGCAAAAAAAAATGGATTAATAATATTATATTTGCTTTTTCCTTCATTACGTATACATAATATTATATGTTATTATTAATTTGTGCTAAATACTTCTGGATTATACAATATAGATCAAGTATCTGTCTGGGACAACATAAGAAGTTGTTGGTCAGTCTGTGCATTGCAGAGCAGCTAAATGAATTTTAATAGAACTCTCACAAAATAACTTACTGAAAAATAAAAGTAGTTCCCGCGGGATAAAGCATAGAAAAGTAATGGCTAAAGCTATTAAAGGGATTGTTATTAGGATAGCCCACTTGGATTTGCGTAACTATGTAGACTATTTATATAGCACATTAGTGAAGTCATAGATAAAAAGCTATGATAAGTATAAATAATAAAAAGTATAACAATATACATGTGGAAATTCCTCTGTCTGTCTATCTTTTCACGCTTAAAACGCATAACAGATACCAATAAAATTTAGCAAGGATATCATTGTATCATGAGGACAGGCACAGGCTATCTTTTATCCCCGTACGTTTATTATGTGAGCGAAGCCATGGGCAAAAGCTAGTTGATCATAAAATGAAAACTAACTTTTCTTCTCATTGGGGTCGGTGACGGAGCATTGTCGGTACGCAAGCGTACTCTTGCGCTTTTGGTTCACGTAGCCCGGGATGGAGATCGACGGAGACTCCAGGCGACCTGATGCCAGCAACCTGATGGTGAAACATAATTATAGTATAACGTACAACATAATATGTATATAATATTAAAAACGTAATCATAGCTACTTTTCATGTCTTAAGTTTAAAGAAATATATTGTTTAAATGGATCAATCGATACCCAACCTTTTATTAATTTATTTTCATTTATACATTTTTAGTGAGAATATTATTTTAATACTACATGTATTTATCAACGTTTAATTATTAAAGCCCATAGTCGCATTACTAAATTCGCCTTTTACTAAAAAAATTGATATTAATACAACTAAAATACAACGATTATTTTGTTATTTATACAATAAAAAAATTTGATATTAATACAACTAAAGTGCAGTAACACTTGGGTGCAGATCTATGTACGTTATGTAACAAAGGCTTTCAAGGCCACCATACACTACCAATCCGATACATTCCTTAGTTATAAAGTCTCTGTCATGTATGAGATGTATAATAGACAGTCCTATCGTCTTATGCGTTCAGGCTCTGTGATACTAGGACAGCGAGGAGGAGGAGGAGTGAAGCATAATTTCGGCCCTCATCTACGTTTTTTAGAACAACGTGGCTGAACAGGTGTGCGATAGGAAGCTGATACTCCGATTATCATAGGCACAAACAAATAGTAGTTCCTATGGCCAAAACTGAACAAAACCGCCAAACCTGGTAAAGTCCAGTTCCAGACGGCTGGCTTCAGGGCCAGTGAAGTGCAACAGCACCTGCACGCAGGCGCCCTGGTGCAGCACGTGCGTGCGCCGCGAGTCCACGCCCACCATCCACTCCGGAACACCCATTACTTTGCGGACATCTTCTAAGAATTTACCTCTAGAAGACAAAGTACACGTAAAAGTTTTAGCTATTTATAAATTAAACAATACGCTTTCCTTTTTACATGTTTATTTTTTGATACTATTGTCTTTAAATGAGAGATTATAACAAGGCCACAGAAATATTCTTATTGAGATGCAATTAATTGTAAGTATGTATTAATTTTATTCCAATGAATTAATCTGATTTCAAAACATTGTTAAAGCTCTGAATAACTTCGCCCCTTTTTTTAAATGTTTAAAATTTAGCCTGTTTATAAGTATCAATAAGAAGTAGCATACTGATACAAACATAGTCAAATTGAAAATGTCCTATATTTTAAGTCTGTTTTCTAACAGATATTAATATCTCACTAGACATTAATATTTGATGTTATATCTTATTATACTCAACCAAACATAATTATAACAATATTAAGAACAAATATCAACAAACAACACTCACAATACAAATCTGGGCGGCTTCATAATGTTAACAAACTTGATAATGTCCTTATCGGGCTGGATGTTGGCGCACGCGAAGCGCTCCGAGCTTCGCTCCGGCCCGAAGATGACGATGGAACGGCTCATGGCGGAGACTGTGCCTTCTAATGGGAAATTGCTATCCACGAACATCTGGCGCTCGCCTCCTACAGCTGATGAATTGTATGATAAAGTGTATAAGTATTTAAAAATACTGATAAATGGTAATTGAATAGCAAAAGAAGATACCTTACCATTGTGAAAATTGAAAAGAAAAGAAATTAAACACTACCTCACATCGTTATGGCTCGCGTCGCTAAGATGCAAAATAGCTAAAATAATATTTTTGAAGAGGACTTTTAAAGTCGTCTCAAACTGAAAATTAAATAGTAGGTACCTATAGTTTTTCTTTAAAAAATTCCAACTTATGAATTTGAGCGCGAGAATATCTTCTTCTTCTTCCTGCTCTTGTCCGTCCTCTTCTCTTGTCCCCGTTTACTTCCATACATAGAACTCTTTTCACCACACTTTGCTCTTCCCTCCGCATCACATGTCCATACCAAGATAACTTATTACTTCTCAACTTTTCATCCACTGGCGCAACTTTCAGGCTCCCTCTAATGTATTCATTTCTCACCATGTCCATCCTAGTCACACCACGTCCATCCTAGTCACACCACGTCCATCCATCTCAACATTCGCATTTCAGCTACATGTATGCGTCTTTCATCCGTTCTCTTTGTGGGCCAACTTTCAGATCCGTATAGGACGGCAAGTCTGATGATCGTCTTATATATTTGTCCCTTTAATTTTATAGGGAACTTGGGGTCACAAATTGCTCCTGTTACCTGCCGCCACTTCATCCACCCTGCATTGATTCGATGCTCGCTTTGGAAAAGGGAGCCAAGGTACTTGAAGTCGGAGCAGACTATTATCACTCTTTTATCCAGCGAAATGGTTTGAGGACTGGAGAGACCGCCAAAATAGCAGAACATATATTCAGTTTTGGTTCTGCTGATTTTTAAGCCAACATTCTCCAATCTTTGTTGCCATTTTTCCAATCTGCTCTGGACCTCGCACCCGTCTTCGCCGACCAATACAACGTCGTCTACAAATAGCATACACCAAGGTGCCTCCCTCTGAATGTCCGATGTCAGATCATCCATTACCAACAGGAAGAGGTATGGACTTAGAGCCGATCCCTGGTGCAAGCCTACAGAGACACTGAACTTTTCGAAGTTCCCAGCGATCGATCTTACATGAGTGCTAGGCTCTCTGTACATAGCACGAATCAATTCCACGTACTTAGCAGGCACTCCTTCTACTTTCAAAGCCCACCACAAAGCCTCTCGGGGAACCCCATCATACGCCTTTTCTAGATCAACAAACACCATATGCAAGTTTTTGTGCGCACGTCTTTACTTCTCACATAATTGGCGCATTGCAAATATGGCGTCTCTGTGTCGTATATGTCTCTGTTCTCGCGAGCGCGAGAATATATCCTTCTAAAATCGTCAAATAAATAAATTCACAAAAATAAAATAAATCTCGGACAAAACGTCTATGGTGTTCATTGTACATATCAGTAATTGAAAGCTACTTATCTAGGGAGAGAGTTAATTGTAAGGAGTACTTACATATAGTGCCGAGCCTGGCGGTGAGGTCGCCCACGTCGCAGCGCAGCGGGTTGTCGGCGCCGCACTCCTGGCTGTACAGGTCGTGCTGGGAAGTGGTGGGCGACTTATTAACTTAATTATTTAAAGGAATGGGATGGATGACTCAAAGAGGGGGATAATTCTAAAACTTGATACATCATAATAAGTACATTATTGCTTTAATCATTCACAGTAAGAAAAATATAATAAATTTAATTTTACCATAAAGTACTTTTTATAATTAATAATATGTTTTCTGTTCGACGCAACAGACAGTAAGTTGTGGTTCGAAATACAAAAAAAAACAAATATTGGCCATAAAATGTAATAATTTGTTACCGAACTCCTACTGCGAACTATAAATGCGAAACATACACACACACAGTGTGTATGTGTGTGTATATTTAGTTACTTAGTTCACGGTAAAATGGACGCATTTAGATAAAAATTAGTACTCAGAGAGATTATGACCTACCTATGTAACACATAGGCTACTAGATTTGATAGGTACTTACCTAGGGACGCACCGACCGAAGATGTTAGAATAAGTAGCTGTTATCTATATACATATATATAAAAATCGATATATGTTCCCTACGGACTACAAAACGGCTGAAGCAATTTTGATGAAATTTTCAAGCAACTTTCAAATTAGCTCAGCAGTTGATCCGGTAAAGTTTGGTAGCGAGCGGAAGCTTTAACGCGGGCGAAGCCGCAGGTACTGCTTGTATATAATAAAGGATAGTAAGAATAATGTGAGATATATGTAATAAATTATGTACATTGAGCGGATCAGCGAGCTGCGTGAAGTAAGGGTTCCAGCGGTACCCGCCGGCGACGCAGCGCGTGTTGGTGACGCTGACTGCCGCGTCCACGCCCACCGGGTTCACGAAGATCTCCCAGTTATGGTGGTGTGTCTGAGGATGAATATATTGTGATATTAAGTTTTGTTCTTTTGGCAGGTTTGTTTAGGAATTTTACAGCTACAAATAGACATATTTAAGTAAACGATATATTCATACGCTTAATAGCTGTAAAAAGTCAGCTTTTAAATTACAACACAGGTTATGGAGTAATTGCAGATTAAATAAAGTTACAGAAAAAATCTAATATCACACAATGCTTACGACTCACCAGGTTAGTTATTCCGGATTCAGGATGTTCCACATCTCGATCATAATATTAATAACACAAAAAATATTTTGAATGAACACCGCTATAACACACACGTGTAAAACAAACCTAATACAACAGAAAAAAAAACTTACCAGATTTGTATCCCGGACCCCGGGATATCGTAACTTCACCTCTATCACCGTATCACTGGTACTCCCATCATTGTGTATGAGCTGCGTCATACGTATGTACCCGCTCGCGAATCCCCCGGGATGGTGGAACGAGGCCATGGCGCGGATCTCACGGGCTTCGGAAGGGCTGTAGCCGCGCTCTATTGAGGAACATGCCCAGCGACGGTCTTTGGCCTAGGGATAGATAATCTATTACATAAAAAAAGTACTTGACTTGTTAATCATAAAAGAATTAACCGCGAGTGAAGCCGCAGATTCTGCTATTTACAAGTAAAGAAGTTTATGAAGAAGTGAATGTATTTATTATTTCTTCACGCTGTACCGGCTTTATGGTTATATTCTGAATCAATATAAGTTTTGTCAACGTAGCGGAGCCGCAAGTGGAAATGTAATAACTAAAATATGTTTTTATTATAACATTAACTTAGTGTAGTGGTGAGTTTGGCGTAGCAGAGTTGACTGTGGAGCAGCCCCATTGGTTTGGTGGTCTGCCTAGCGTCTAGGCAGACCTGCCGCCGGGGCGCCGTAGTAGTTATGCGCAAGCGATCGTGAGCCCCACATCACCACCTGGGGGATCAGGTGGTATGCGTAAATGCATTTCCCGACGATAAAAAAAAAAAAAAAAAAAAAAAAAAAGTGTAGTGGTGAGTTACCCTTCAGGGTACACGCTGATTGGAAGCTTTCATGCTCTCTATAATATTATGTAAGTTCAAAAAAAATTATACTTCTTGAGCCAACACTGATGATAATTATTTAGTACTAACTACTTACTTATTAAGTACTAAAATATTACGCTAAGATTACTCATCGATACTTTTTTTTTAAACGAAATTTTTTTTTTGTAATCATTATACGATGCCCCCAAAGTTTAAAATCTTACTATAAACTATTATTTTATCGTTTACCTTTCTATGTATAGCGACAGATCTTCCCAAAATGCTATAAGGACCGTACAGGGAGAGTTGCGTCTCGTTGTAGTATGTATCAACGTTCTTCATGTTGTCCAATAATCCATACTTATCTCCTAAATCACCTAACTCGTATTGATCTGCTGTTCCTGCAAGAGATAGAATAAAATATTAGTATTTAACATTTTTGAGAAAAAAATCACGACAATAGGTACTGATTTTCGTAATTTAACTTCTTAACCAGCTATAAAAAAAGGAGGCCTCTCTCCATCTTTTTCAAATTTTGTCTCAAAGGGTGGAATTCCTAGATACATTTATAATATTATTGAATTCGGTGTTCGGTTCTTACTTACAAAAATGATTATTATTACAATATACTAATATTCAACGATATCGTATATTAAAAGGATGTAGAGACTCATAAATCAATCTACACTGATCTGTGTTATATTCTATTTATTATGTAAAAATGGATTAATATAAAGATATTTATTTGTCTCTATTCTAATGAAATCGTCTATGAGGTTGCTGCAAAAAAGTTTTCTAAAACACACTTAATACATATACCATAGTACGTACCAACAGCGGTCGGTGGACTTAAAGATTTATCGACATGGAAAGGATTATACGTGTCGTAGATGGTGGTCTTTTCGCACGGGAATTCTAGTTCCTTTTCTACAGGAGCCTGAAAATGCAACAAATGTAATTTAGTTATAACCTCAATTATTTTAAAAATTAAACCTATTAAGGGAAAAACGTATGTCTAATATTTTTCGATATGAGAAAGTCGTTAATTTTGATGAAAAACTATAGACATATTATACGACACATTTCTGAATTTTGAACCTTATTCTAATTTAAAACTCAATTAGTAATTTAATTAGAAATACAACATTTTGTTTTCTTTTTCTTTAATTTTTAAACTTTAAACCATTTAATTAGAAAGAAATGAACTTAAATTAAACATATCAATTACCATATGTATTTTATAATTGCGTATATCATTGTCCAGCCCCTCCAGAGTCACCTGCACGTTGGTGATGTCGTACTCCGACTGTTGAGTCATCTCTATCTTCCCTTTCAGCGCCACATCGAAACCGTTGCCGAACCAATCACGGACCACTGCTTTGCGACGGTGAAGACCGTTTACACTAAAAATTAGATTAGATATTTAGGTAAAAGAGATTTTTTATTAAAGTGTTAAAAAAACTGGTTACCGAAACTGCCATTTATGAACAAAAAACCAAGAGTTTCCCCTATTATAGAATATGTATATAAGTATAACTTTGCTTCAATACGTTTACTTACATGGAGCAAGCCAGGCGCTCTCCCCGCGCCACCGGCCCGTGGTCGTCGTATATGACGAGCGAGCGTCGCAACACCGAGCGCCTCCCGGACAGCGCGATGGCCGTGTCGGTGAACAGGCGACGCGTGAGGCGCGCACTGTCCACTTTCTTACCGGCTATCGATAGCATGCCGTGTCTGAAATAAAAAAATACAAGTTGTAGAAAAAATAAGTCAGACATACCTAGAGAATTAATTTTCGTAAAAATATATGAAGTTCTATAAGGCATTGCTTGGAATCATATTCTAATTTCAAACGAAGTTTATTTGAATATAAGAGTATTTATATTCAAATAAAATTCGTATTATTGCATCCGAAATTTTCATCTATAATGTTAGTATATAGTATTATATGATCTGTGGTATTAGCAAAAATTGTAAAAATGGAATATTTTAAAGGTAGATTTCGATGCGATAAGTTATTATTGCACGAGTACGTGAATGAGAGTGAATGTCACAGGTTCTTTTATTCCCTCAATTTCATAGAGCGTAGCTTGAGCGAGACAACTTCTAGGCTTGTTCCTTTAACATTCTTAAAATGGACTACTATACTACTATTATAAATGTGAAGATTATGGAATAGAGCTAGGGATGGATGTACACTAGAAATAGAGCAAAGAGACCGTAAATAGATTATTATTAACATATAAGTGTTACCTAGTATTAAGATCACCAAGCTTGCAGAGTCCCTCCAACCCTTGCCTGCAGTATTGCTCCGGATGGCGAGCGTCGGCGTCCAGGCCGGGCTGCTGCAGCACAGCGCCCGCGCTGAGACACCGAGCCGTCCAGTTGTAGTAGTCCTTCCCTGGGGGGTGTTCGTGTATCGCCCAACGATGCTCGAAAGTATTGTTTACACTTGCGCCGTCTGCGTGCACCTATAAGAGGAGGAGAAACTAGATGTTATTTACGCCTTGGTGGTTTTAGTATATATAACTATTAGCTATAGTATACTCTATACATTTAGAGATGTTAGCCCGGAACCAAATTATGAGCTCAATACGAGCTTCCATGTGTTAAATTTCACTACATTTAACAGAACTAAATAGATACAGCTTAAACTTCATCCCCTTTGTAATAACATATGACCGGTATAATATGACAATATGAAATGGAGTCAATGTAAATTGAGTTCAGCTCAGATAGAAAACAATAGATAAAATGTAGCATTTTTTTTAATTTTTAGTACACAATGAAAATTGCTTTTATACCAACCATACTCTCTATAATAATGGTAGTATCTTCCCACGGGCGCTCCAGAGGCTGCCGGAATATAACTCTTCCGACGAGCGGGTATCTAAAGATGGCCTGCGCTGAACTCATCTGCGTCTGGTACTCCGTGCCGTGCTCGTACGAGAGGATTGTTCCGCAGAGTTCGTGTTTTGGCTCTCTCCTAAAATGTAGAGTTAGAATTATAATTATAAAGCTATTATTTTGCGTTAAAAAACGAGGGAACGATGATGATAAGTCGCTCTCTGGTCCATTAATTACTTCTATAAAAAATAACAACAATCTGTTCCTCCGCTGTTGGGATTTCAACTTAATATTGTAACGTACTTTGATGCCATTTTGGAATTTTTTGAATTCATTTTTATTAATTTGTTGGTAGGCTGTCTGTGACAACTAATACTTTTGAGACATCCTAAACCATGATTGCTGTAAAGCATTCGAAACTTCGGAAAATAAAATTCAAAATAAATTCGCGAAAAAAACCGAAAAGATAGTTTTATTTAAAATGTCAAATATTCGCATAAATCTAAGAAAGTATGTCACCTGAGGGAGTAAAGATGGTGATGATCATCTATCTCTTTGCAAAATTTAAAAAAAACTAAATGAAATTACTATATGTAAACACTTTATACTAACCTAGTTAGAACCAGCGCTCTATGCATCACACTGTGCCGTCCACTCAGCGGCAGGAAGACGTCCCAGTACGTGCCGCTCAGCTCGTTGGCCAGACCAGGCAGTAGGTACTTATGGTTTAGATATTCAGTACGATCTTTGTACTTCCCTAACAGATCCCCGACTGGATACTGATCTTGCGTGCCCATGCCTGAAGAAATAGAATATATTATTGCATTTATTATTTTATAGGAAATCTATATTTTAAATAGTCTATAGGTAACTTTTGCTACGTCTATTGTTACGTTACTTTTTAGGAGAATTTTGTAATTTAAATAAGATTTTGATTTTCAAATCTATACACATAATAAAATTCTGAGTCGAATCTGTACATTAATTTCTTTTGGAAAATTTTATCGAAATAGTCATTATCATCGAAACAAAGGCCGAATCTATAGTTTTTAAAAATTTTGTCTGTCTGTCTGTCGTCTGTATCGACTATCTGTCTGTGAACGCATCACGAAAAAAGCACTAAACCAATTTTGATGAAATTTGGTACGATGATAGCAGGTTAGCCGGGTTAACATATAATACTATATGTTAACTTTTTACAGAAAATATCTCATCTCTGAGAAATCTATAGTAAACGCTAATGTATATAAGTGTATTTTCTGAAGAAACGCAATTTTTATATTTTTCCCAAAAAAGGCAAGCAAAGCTTGGTTGCCCAGGTACGAGTACTTCATATTTAAATACAAAATCTTACACAGGTATATTTTACATATTTATTCGCAATACAAATAGACATATTACGAATAAGCATTCATAAATTAAAATTTCTGAAGCAAATTAATTGTAACTTTTATTAACCCATTAGCAATATTTAATGTGGCTTGTAACGACAGCATCTTAACGCGTTCATCTCAGTAGTCGGTACACTAACATCCGAATTCCGAGCTCGCGTACTGCGCGTAAACAAATCTAGCTGAAGGAGATCCAACATTAGACAAATCTGTTATGACATTGTCCAGACACCACTTTTTTTTAAAAAGATGATACAAAAACCTTAGTAACTGATGTTAGTATTCATAAGTTATTATTTTGATATGTAGACAAAATATGTAGCTATAATAGTATAGATAAAATAAAATTAAAAATATACTATCTTCTATAATCTAATTAATACTATTTTCTACGCAAATCCTCATTATTTACACTAGCAACACTGTACACTGTATCCCGCGGGATATACAGCGTTGAAAAGTACTCAATGTGACATTTAAGTTCATAGACTATGTAAAAACTATAAAAAACAAAATAGATTTCTTCTTTGCGTCATAAATCGATATAAACCGATAATGTATATAAATGTGGGTACATTCGTTTTTAAATGATTAGTAATGACTAAAGCTTTTGTTATTTAGTTTAATGTAATAAATATAAACAATTTCTCATAATCGAACGTAAATAATAAGATTTCTACCGTCTAAACATACGAGTATAATATAATTCTGAGTCGAATCTGTAAATTGAATAATTTTTGGAAAATCTTATTGAAATAGATATTATTATCGATACAGAGGTCGAATATATGGTTTTAAGAATTTTATTCTGTCTGTCTGAGAACGCATCACGTTAAAACCACTGGACGATATTTATGAAATTTGTTATGGTGATAACTGGTTACCCCGGTCAACCAACATATACTTAGGAAACTTTTTACTGCGAGAAAATATGTATATCATCTCTAAGAAATCTATACTAAACCTTAAAACGTAACTAGAGACGACCGAAATAAAAAAGTAATAAGCGGAGCGAGGGTGAGTCGCTCGTATTCTATACAAATTACCTGCTGGTGGCAGATTCTTCAAGTCAACTTCACTGGGGTTATACAAGTGGCCTGTGGTGTTACAGATGCTCTTATACAAGCTAGGATCTAGTAGCTTCGGAGGCAGCTCCCTAATGCTGTACTGCAGCATGGAGCCGACAAAGCGAAGGTTAGACTCATAGTCCTGGTTAGAAGCACCTAACTGAAAATTGGCCCACGTCGGGTCGAAGGGTGTCGTTTGGGTAAATTCTACAGTTCCTTTTATGCCATCCATGTTAATAATTGCCCTGTTAAATAAATAATTTAAAAAAATTAAAAAGTATAATTTACAAATAGATTATAGTTAGTTACTTGAAAAACTAAATACATATATATGGCGACAGAAAAATATACAAACTGTTATACGTTGAAAAATCTACAATTTTAAATTTAATTGGTATTGTAAGTTTAAAAGCTTAGTAATAACATAGTATGAAATAAGTTTATTTTACCTACATTACTACCACTTACTTCATATTTTTTGTTTGTAATGGTCTTAACTTAGCACATGCCAAAAAGCTATCAACATGTCTGGCATCAAAAATCACCACATATAGATTACGCTTGGTTGTCTTCATGTCACTCCTTAAAATATTTAGCACCTCGTCCTTATACAATGTCCTGGTATTCATCTGATTGGCATCTGTAGCAACCTTTATGAGACCGAAACGGCTGTCCAGGTCTCCCACACTCATACCATCTCCACTATTATCGGGATCAAATACAAGCTGAAGCACGTTACAGTTGTCTTCGTGGCTGCCTTTGTCTGAATCAAATATATCGGTCACGAATAATTTCCACTTATGCGTTGTGTATCCAAGGTTATGTTTCACTGCCTTTGTGTGATACAAATTAGCTTGGATGTAGGAATCTTCGAAATCACTAGTATAGAGCCATTTAAAGTTTAGAGTACCCGCAATGGGAGCTGTAAATCTTGCCTGGGCGTATTGTTCATGAGATTTATTAGTAGCAAAAATAGATGCACATATGACTCTATCACGCTCAGCTGTTTCTAGCACTATGCTTTTTCCCCATAAGCCCATAGGACCGGTCAAGGTATTTGTGCTTTCATATTCAGCGTGGTCTTTGCCGGGTATTATCAAATAACCTAATTCTTCTGTGAGATCTATTAGCTCCTTCCCAAGGCTCGCTTCAGAGCATCTCTCATTGGATAAGTCCCTATAGTCTACCGCATACTCGTGTATTGTCCAGCGCCAGACTCCGTCGGGATATTGTAAAGTTGGTTTCAAGTTGGTTCGTATATTGATGAGTGATTCATTTTTGTAAGAGAATTCGATTTCGCCGTGAAGCCCGTGCTGGGATATGTACGCTCGAAGCACCAGACCATTTATATCTTAAATAAATTCAAGGTTATTATAACGAGTTAAAATTTAATTTAATGAATATGAATATAGATTTCTTGTCACATATAAAGTGTTCCATTTAACTTATATTTAGTTTATCCGCGTACCGATACTACTTTGGAAACAAAGTAACCGGACTTCCAGCTGACTTTTACTTTCAATTTTGACAAAAAGTACAGTGTGAATATATTATATGTAATTGGTAGGGACCAATTATATTTGCTTTATTATTTATAATTATTATAATTTATAGTTCAGTGAATTGCATGTTGGTTAAATTAATAAGGGAAATTAATTATACATCATTAAGGGGCTACTAAATAGTGCAATGCCATAGAAATCGTAGCTCTGACAAGTGTTAAATTATACTCTATTACTTAACATTACCATAAAAATGTAACACTCAATAATATGTCTTATCTCTTTGTCGTAAATATGATAATCGTGTGTTTATATTTAAAAGAAACTGCCATTGACACAACAACTTGATCACTGACCAAAAAATCAAAATAGTAGAGCTTATTTTTACTTAAAATAACTTAAAAGTGACCAAACATAAATCATATTTTAAATATATTTTTTTCTTACCTTTCACTAAAAAAACGATTATTAAAACTAGATGAAAAACCTTTGGTATACAATAATTTGTAAACATTGTTGAAAATTTCACATTTTTATCACAATGTACGTATTAGCTGGTTTATGACGATGGTATACTGGAAGTGAAAGGCGAAGGCGAAGTGTGGGTAACTTAGGTGAGACAGGTAGAGTCGGAGAGGGAGAGCTGCTTGACGTAACTTTACCGGTTGTGCATGCTAAGTATTTGGATGTTTTGATACTTGCGGGAAACGTTTGAAATACTAGCTAATGTCCTATTGGAAATAAATAATATTTCCATCTTACTTCTAGTAGGTCGCGGGGGCTTATGGAATGATAGCAATGACTTTCCATTTGTAGCGCAACTATTAAAAGTTCAATTAATTCTTACATAAAGCATATATACAAAAAAATATTTTCCTAAACACCTGTACACTAAAATTTTCAATTCAATCTTCGCACTATGGTATGGCCATAATATCATAATATCGTATGGCCGTCGAATGCACGTCACGGAACTTTGAAAATTTTGAAAATAATAGTTTTCATAATCTTAGTTCAAAGAACTTTGTTTAAGCACCACTCACTAGGTGAATAATATAAAATTTAGAACATAGAAAGAAGTAAGAAAAAAAAGAAATAATTGTTCATAGCAATACTGCTTAAACTTTTTTTTTATAATAAAAAAAATACTTCATGTATGTATAAAACCTAAGAACTGATAAAGGTCAAATATGTACGTTAATATTACAAGAGCTATATTTAAAACTGTAACCTAGATAGCGCGTTACCAACATTGGTGTATTCAAGTTTAAGATATTTTAGCTTTTTCATCATCGATTCAACTCGTTCCTTTGCTTTTAATCAGTATTGAGGCTGTATGTATGGTAGTAATGAAAAACTCTCTCTCTTTCTCTCTCCCTACATATCTCGCTCTACATATTCTCTTTATATCTATCTCCCTCTTTCTTAACTTATTAGTAAACTAAGACTGACTCCATCTGATGACAAAGTCTGCTCTCTTATATGTAGTTTAGGCAAATAACGATTATAGAAATTTTCTTGAGATTGAAAAAATGCGATATTTTTGAAGAAATTGATATTGATGACATGATTTTTTGTAATTATACTCTATCACATAATTAAAGAATGAAGCCATAAAAAAGGTCCTTATAAGTATAATAAATGCGGAAGTATGTTTGTTACTTAGTCCTATTTCGCACGAACTATGTAGCGACTGAAAGACGTGATTTTTTTAATATAGATATGTTTTATGGGTCGAAGAATAACTTACTCATAGACTATTTTCTATCCCGTTATATTCAGCGATATATATATATATATATATATATATATATATATATATATATATATATATATATCTTTTTATTCTAACAAAAAAATCTCTCAAACGTTCTCAAGCACCGCATAAATCAAAAATCAAATTCTTCATTTTATAGCTGTGCATTAGAAAATTTAATGGGATTTATGTACGAGCTGTACAGTACAAATTGATGAACTGCCAGAAACCTAAATAGGTCACGACTATGAATTACTGTGCACTACAGAAAGACGGAAATATTTTCAGCAATGGACATATTATATTCGTGCTAAAATTTCACTAGCTATTTATGGTTCACGATATCTTTAAAGATATAATAGACGGTCGAATGGAGAGATAACATAGGTTTAGTAATTAGGCCCTAATCATTTAGCGTCAAACAGTTAAAAACTATAAAGCTTTTTTAACCAAAACATGATAATAATATTAAAATAAGATGATAAAATCGATTATTTATTATTATTTTTTGCAATATTACAGAAATTCCAGTAATTTGTATCTTCACTCTCTATCGTCTCTATCGTATAACTATAACGAGTTCGACATCCCATATTTACTTATTTGAATTTAATCTATAACCGATACAGTACATGTACTATTTATATACTCGTAATACTATCATGTACATTTGACAGTATTTCCCACGGAAGACAAAAAAATCTCTTACGCCTCTCTTTCTCTTCTTTCTCTTTCCAATCTCTTTGCCTTATGGCAAATAAAACTGTAAGACAAAGCCATTATGATAGAGCAGGTCTCTAGAATATAATAGGTGCATGGAATAATTTAAAAGCAATTAGCAAAATAACTTATTATGTATCATTAACATTCGACATCATTAAAAAATATCGATCATTGCAAAACATTATCAAATGACTCCAAAACAATTAAATTGGATAAAAAACATTATATTATATGAATTTATTATTGCTTATTTTCGTATTTTAGCACCGAACGGTGTGGATTACAATAAGGTTATTTTTATATAGTGAGTAGCGCCCGACCGGGACCAGAATAGCGGCCCGCCCCGCCGCTCGCCCGAGCTCCGTCAACGAGGTGATTTTGACCAAAATTATACAACACCTAACCTATTACTGAAGATAGATACTAAGTACCTAATTTAAAATGATTAGATAAAATAAACACAGGAAATTTTTCGCCTGATACGATAGTAATGAATTAAAAATCGTTTTCTACCGTACATTATCAGGGGAATTTTTAGAACGTACGTACATATTATTATGTAAAGTAAATATCATAAATAAATAAATATGTCAGGACGTTAACACACAATACCATCTAATTCCATGGTAAGCTACGAGGCTTGTGTTATGGATACCAGATAGCTGATACATTATACATATATAACTTTAAATACATACATATTATAAATATAAACACCCATGACTGGAGTACAAACATTCGTGCTCATCACACAAATGAATACCCCCAGCGGGACTCGAACCCGCGACCGCTGACGCAGCAAGTAGGGTCACTACAAACTGAGCCAAACGTGTAGTCAAATTACTGTTGTATAGGATTAGAACTAGTGAACTGTCTTCATCTTATTTAGGGTTGACCTGAAAATAATAATCAATGCGCGATAATTTCCTAATATACATATAAGCCATTGTGAAAGTGTGAAATGATTAAAATATTTTCCAATTGCGTAAATAGTCCAGTAGGCAGTAACAAGATCTCTTTAACTGTAGAAGAGTTGCATTTTCATGGTTAAATATATTACATTGCAGTTTTTGTATTATTTTCTCAGAAATAAGACATCTTCCCGCGGTAAAAAGTATCCTATATATTGACCCGGATAACCAGCTATCACCATACCAAATTTCATCAAAATCCCTCCAGTGGTTTTTCTGTGATGCGGTAACAGACACACAGACAGACAGACCGACAAAAAATCTAAAAACTATAGATTCGGCCTCTGTATTGATAATAATGTTTATTTCAATAAGGTTTTCCAAAAAATATTTAATGTACAGATTCGGCTTAGTTACAATTTATAGATAAGGATTTAACCTTTGTTTTTAGGGTGGTAACGGAACGGACCGTAATATGTAGAGAGTTGAAATTTTCACAGAATATGTATTTCTATTGCCGCTTTAACAACAAAATTATAATAAAAATAAATACTTATAAATAATAAAAATACAAGAAACATTTTTTAACGTTCGTAATCAATCGTCGAAGTTAATATACTAAAGTAAAAGCACGGCAATATTACATAATTACCGTGGTAAAGCCACATTAATAAAAAGTACATGTACGATGGTACGGAGCAATCCGACTCGCTCTTGATCGATTTTTATTTAAATAGACATTACTTAGTAAAATATATTTTTTATAAATATAAAAGCAAATGTATCTATCTCGTTTTAGCAACAATATTTATAGTATGTCTATTGTCTATCTACACTACTATATAAAGAAATAAAATTTGTTTGAAGTAATTTTAATAAATCTATTAGCAATATATAGTTATTGACTAAATAATATTCAGCTTATTAATTATTTAAACTTCATAATATTATTTTTTCTTAATATTACTTTGTTGCGAGCGAGGGTCGCTAATTGTTAATATTTGGCCGAAACGATTTTCAAATAAAATTGTTTGTAAATTTTTGCTCTGATCTTGAAATATAATAATAAAATTTTTTATATTATTTCAAGCTCGACTAATATGGCCATTAGATTGTGTACAATTAACTTTCCTTCCCTATCTTTCAGGAAATGGTATCAAAATTTTCAAAAAAAAATGACTTTCTTTTACCGCAATTTTCTTTTCAAATATAAAAATAAATAAATAAAAATAAGCCAAAAAATAATAATTGCAAATAGGTATAAATAAAATTCAGAATCCAAAATATTTTTAACAAAATTTGCTTTGCAAAATATACTATATTACGTAGTATTTAGGTAGAAATATTTTCAGTCACTCACTTCCGCTTCCGCACAGGCAGTCAGTTTGTCAGTTCATCAACCGCAAACTTGGTTTTCCAGGACATTTTAAAAAATACCTAATATAAAACGCTAACTTTGCGGTGAATAAAATGTGCCGATATTGTGGAGAAATAAATATTCGTATTTTATTTTAATGCGAACTTAACAAAATACATAATTAATATAAAAACAACAGAGTATTAGGCTCTATGAAACCTTCAAAAATGGTTTCGGCCAACAAAATATTACTAATTTATAAAACCTTATAGGTAGTTTGTTTGTTTATCATTTGTACTCGGGCGAAGCTGCGGGTAATGCTAGTATTCCAATAAAATCATAGAAAAGTTATATCTGTACATATATTTTTTTTGGTATTAAAATAAGAGAAGACATCTAGTAATACTTTTCTAAATAACGGCCAACTAAATATTTGTAAATTTATTTTTACACAAGTAGTGACGCACCCTCGCTCCGCTAGAGTTCATCCCTACGGTGGACCACCCTTATCACTTAGGGGTATGAAAAATAGTGAAAAATAGTTTAGGTCCTATTCTCAGACCTACTGAATATACACACAAAATTTCATAAGAATCGGTCAAGCAAACAAGCAAGGGTTTTGTTACAAACACTGTGACACGATAATTTTATATGTTAGGTAAAATATCGGTATTAATACAGATTTTTTTTTTTTTAGAAACTACGAGTATTTATGATGCCCTATTTTGTACGGTATATTGCAAATTTGATTTGTTTTTGGCAAAATTTCCTCATCAACATATACCCGAAGTAAAAAAAGTCCTATAATGTTGACCTGGATTATCAGTTATTACTATACCGAATTTCATCAAAATCCATCCAGTAGTTTACCCGTGTTGTTGACACACACAAACATACGTAAAAATTTTAAAAACTGATTTGGCCTCTGAGTCTAAAATAATGGTTATGTCAATAAGAATTTCCAAAAAAAATATGTTCACATATTTGTTTTTTTTTTAACTGTCAAGAATCATAGCAACCTTTATTGAAATTTGAAAAGAAAAAGATGTGCGTTCCCGAAATGGTTTGAAATAGGCAACAAAATATATGGCAAAAAGAACGTAGAGACGCTCTCAGGTAGGGTATGTCGCTTGTGCAATAATAAAGTTAATCTGACGATTAACCCGGTACGTGGCAGATATATTTTTCTGAGTCAATTCTGTACATCAAATATTTTTGGAAAATCTTATTGAAATAGTCATTATTATTGCTACAGAGGCAAGAGAGTCAGAAAAATTCTAAATACTATCGTACGTCAGAGAGACTGAAAAATTCTAAATACTATCGTATTTAGAATTTGTCTGTCTCTCTGACGATCACGAGAAACCCACTGGACAGATTTTGATGAAATTTGGTATGATGATAGCTGGTTATCCGGGCCAACATAGAAGATACTTTTTACTGCGGAAAATTTTTCATCTCTAAGAAATCTATTCTAAACGTTATAACGTAACGTATCTATATTATTAGTGTTGTTTTAACGTTAAGCTTTTTATTATTACCTGCAATAGGAGTTTTTTTTGAAACCATGAATCGCAAATGAGAAATTTAGAAAATGAATCAACAGATCATATTTAAAATTTCTAGCATAGTTTACGATTTACATAATATTCATTTACATTATAAGTTTTTGATTAACAAGCGAAACGTCCCAACTTTACTTAGACCTAGTATAGTATTATATGATCTGTGCTTAGACTCTAACAGCGACCAACACGTCACTCAGAAACTTCTACTTTGCTCAAATCTTATTACAAAATTATGTTTCTAATTAATAGGAACTATTCTGTTGGTATAGAAATACTATTGTCTTAAACTTAATACTAATACCTATCGAACAAGAATATATTGTTGTAACGAGATCACATTATACAAGTTGGAGAATAAAAATAGTTACAGTGATTCATTTTATCATTATGATTAGAAACTGTAACGGTAATGCAGGCTTTTTTATTTTGCGTAGTTTGATATAATTATGCGTACAAACAGACCGACGAAAATAGTGACGTTCTATTCCGTTTAAATTTAAACTTATCGGAAACTTATATTGATTGTGACCTCTGTACTTCATCCAAAAAAAACACAAAATCTATCGCAACAGACTGTGCAGGGAGCTGATATTATTTTTAAATCGTCTGGAACGGCCGAACGTCCCAGCTGGTCGAAGTGTTCTGATGCGTTCCCCTACAAATATCTGGCGAGCTATATATGGGATCATGCAGGAGCCGAGTGTGAGCCGGGTGGGGGAGGGCGGAGGGGGGTGGGTGTACTCCTGGACGTTCGGTCGCGGACGACATCTCGGAGTCAGGGTGGGACTGCCGAGTGGTACAGTCTCTCTTCCGTCGAACCAACAAACTATACAAAATGGTAAGTGAAGTGTAGTGGCGATAGTGCTCCAAGTGACCAGTGGACAGTGACTTTGCGAGTGAATCGAACAAACTTTAATTTTTTTTAAAGGATTTACAGCCAATTTTTAAGAAATTTTTATGCATTAACCAAAGATTTTAAAACTGTTTAAAAATACATAACGTCGTGCGAGTAGTGATAACGATAAACTGCTTTTAAATGAGGATCGTTGACTCCAAATAATAATAAATTACCAATCAAAAATAAACGTTTAAACATGTGCACAATATGTAGATAGACCAGCTTTTTCTCACTTTTTTCTCTACATATCATCTCAAATTTTAAAAAATTGAGTTTTTTTATAAATTTTAAACATTTTAAAGCATTTAAAGGTTTGAAATACGATTTTCATAACTAACTTTATTCACGAATAATGATTAATGATTATTAAAATGAAATTATAATTTTAGTTTCAACAGTTCAAACCATATAAGTATTATTTATTAGTCGTACACGAAAAAGAACTTTGAATTTATTAACAATGTTAAAATTTTAAAACTAATAGTTTATTTTAACTATTTCATTAATTTCTAAACTAATAGGTACATAGCGCTACCAGAGATAAATATAAATTATAAACTAAAACATAAAATTTGAAAATTCTATATTTCCAATATAGCATTAAATAACTTTGTTTCTACTTCAATCTTAAAATAAATTTGGCAATGCTGGCTGAAGAAACTGGATCAAGAGTTCTATTATTTCACGCAACGGAATGCGCGCCTCAAAACGAACGCCGATTGATCTAAATATACGCGCGCCATGCGGCGCCTTAACTGGCACCGTTCGAATGTAATTTGATAATAGTTCGATCATATCGGAATGCTATTTAACGTTCGACACAAAGAATTTATAGATGCGAAAACATACTTAGGAATAACATTTTGCAAATTATAGTCAAAATAGATGTGAAAAAGAGCAGCCATACACAAATTCTCTATGCGCGATAATAATTTAGCTTCACAATGACCGCAAGAATGAGCAATCATATGAAAATATCTTATCAATTTAAAATTATAAATCGAAGAATAATATGAAGTGAACGCGAAATGGTATATATTGCAAATAGATGATATCTACAAGTCTTTTGTATTTCAAATTACTAGATTCTTATCTGAAGTTATGTTTCTTGTAGGCGGATAAGGAAAAGAAGATCAAGAAGAAGAAGGCGAAAGAAGACGCGCCCGCTGAGGAGGCCCCAGCTGCGCCCGCGCCCGCCGCCGGAGGTGAACGCCAATCATCCCGCGGCAGCCGCAAGGCTAAGCGCACTGGCTCCAATGTCTTCTCCATGTTCTCCCAGAAGCAGGTCGCCGAATTCAAAGAGGTAAGCATCATCTCCAAACTGAGAAAAATTCCTAGAATTGCAGAATTGTAAATCAATGGCGTGTGTAGTGACGTCCCTTCATAATATTTAGCTCGTGCTCAGAGGTTTGTTTTATAAACTTACGAGCTGTACGTGGCAACAAATTAATGACATCATCGAATATATAATTCAATTTGATATGCGTAAACAAAAGACATTATTTTTAAGGAAATATATTTGATATTTAGATAAAAGTAAGTAAAACTAACACACAAAATCTTTTTGTAGGCCTTCCAGCTAATGGACCACGACAAGGACGGTATCATCGGCAAGAACGACCTCCGCGCCACCTTCGACTCCCTCGGCAGGCTCGCCACCGAGAAGGAGCTCGACGACATGGTCGGTGAGGCTTCCGGCCCCATCAACTTCACCCAGCTCCTTACCCTGTTCGCCGGCCGCATGTCTGGTGGCTCTGATGATGATGACGTCGTCATCAACGCCTTCAAGACCTTCGACAACGAGGGCAAGATCGACTCCGAAAGGTTGAGGCACGCTCTCATGACCTGGGGTGACAAGTTCTCCGCCGACGAAGTCGACGAAGCGTACGACCAGATGGATATTGACGAGAAAGGCTTCATCGACACCAACAAGCTGATCACCATGTTGACCGCCAGCGCCGAGGAGGAGGAGGGCGGAGAGGCCGCGTAAACACTCTCACTAACATCTAAGGAATATTGAGATGGTGGCTACCACCTGGCCCGCAAGGTTCTACACATCGGATTAAACGCGATGCGAACCGAACAATTTTTTATTTAAATCTCTATGTAATTTATTGTTTCCATTTTATAATTTATATATAATGAAAATATAGTTTTACTATACCAATACCGTGTACGACTGTCCCTAGTTCGGGTGTTTATTGAAACAAACGGCAGAAGCCGAGGGATATGTATGGAATACTATGTATTCATATTTTTTGTTTGAATAAAGATTTAAATCAAGTCTGACTAAAATAAGGCCTAATAAGGCCAGTTTAAGAAACCTTGACTTCTCATTACACACTTCATCAGTCTTACTGAAACCACACGCTTATGGCTTTATCTTGCAACCTAAATCAAATGAAACTCTTTTCATTACAATAACTACTTTTGAATTGAAATTGTCTAAGAGACGTATTATTGCAAACCGAACACAGATTTTAGAAAACACACACACAAAAATATACAATTTATTTATATTGTTGTTAATTGTAAGTACTAAAAAGCTGACTGAAAAGTGGACGTTGCAATTTTCTCTTAGTAGTTAAAAAAATATGTAATCATAATATAAGGAACCAGATAGTTTGGCACTCGTAGTGTACGCAATAAGTTATGCGAGTGTTATCTTAATCAGTCTAAAATATGATCTTACTTTTTGTTTTGGCGAAACTAAGCGAAGGAAGGGTGAGCCAACAAAAATAATTCTATCCCACGGGAACCATATATTTTCCGGAATAAAAAGCCTATGTGCTACTCCAGATTATAATCTATATCTGAGCCAAATTTCATACAGATCCATTTAGCCGTTCTGGCGTGATTGAGTAATAAACATCCAAACATCTAAACTTTCACATATTATATTATAATATTAGATATAGATTTCTACCTTTTGCCCGCGGCTTAGCGTCGATACTTATTTATCTATATTAATACTAGCGGCACAATCTCGCTTCGCTCGGGTTCGCCTCTAGAAAAACACTAATAGAGATCTATTAGTTACCATGGGAACCGTTCATTTTTCCGGGATGAAAAGTAACCTGTTGTTTGACCGGCAATATAAGGTATCAGAATGTTAAATTTTACTAAATTAGGTGCATGAGTTATATTTATTATAGTTTTTTAACTGTCCCACGGGAACTATTGAATTTTCCGGGATAAAAAGTATCTAAGATGTTGCCCGGCGATATAAGGTACCACCATGAAAAATTTCATTTAAATCGGTCCAATAGATTCGGAGATTAGCCCATACAAACAGTAAAACAGACAGAGAAACAAAAAAATTGAAAAAAGTCTGGATTTGTTCTATTTGTCTTCTTACATCCCCCTGACTCGGTTTTTAGCATTATTTTGCTATGTACAGACATTCGACCTCTAATGTTTTATTATAGTATAGATAATAGGTTTTGTGAATTGTGAGTTTGTGACGTTGTAGGGGGTAATGTCTGCATCTACTGAACCAATTTAGATGAAATTTGAAAAGAGGTTAGCTTGAGACTCTGGGAAGGTCATAGAGTACTTTTTATCCTGGAAAACATCCCTTAAGGGGGTGAAAATGGGGATGAAAATATGTATGGAGAATAAACCTAGAGACAAACCCGAGCGAAGCGAGGGTAAGTCGCTAGTCTATATAGTATATGTCTAACTCGCTATAACTATTTTCATTATTATATATTAACGTTTTATTATACGTTATTTATTCTATCTATAAATACTGTAGAGGTCTGAACATAGAAAAAAAATGCTAAAAACTGAGTCAGTTATCTTCGTACATGCCGTAAGAAGAAAAATAGAACAAAGCCAGATTTTTTTCATTTTTTTTGTTTCTCTGTCTGTTTGTGCGGGCTAATCTCCGAAACTATTGGACCGATTTAAATGAAATTTAGCATGGTCGTACCTTATATCCCCGGTCAACATTTAGGATACTTTTCCGGAAAATTAAAGAGTTCCCGTGGGATAGTTAAAAACCATAGTAAATTATACAGCTTAGTACACAACAACTTATGCACCTAATTTAGTAAAATCTGGCATGTTGATACCATATATGGCCGGTCAAACAACAGGTTACTTTTCATCCCGGAAAAATGAACGGTTTCCGTGGGATAGGTCTGTTTTTGTTTGTGTGTAACGTATTATATACACAATATAGACCCCAAAACAATAGTTATTAAAAAAAATGTCTGTTTGCCTGTATGTCTGTTTGTATGTTTGTACGGACTAATCTCCGAAAGTGTTGGACCGATTTAGATGAAATTTTGCATGGTGATACCTTATATCCCCGGTCAACGTCTTAGATACTTTTCATCCCAGAAAATTAAAGAGTTCCCGTGGGATAGTTAAAAAACTATAGTATCTTATAGAGCTTAGTACACAACAACTTATGCACCTAATTTAGTAAAATTTAACATTCTAATACCTTATATTGCCGGTCAAACAACAGGACACTTTTCATCCCGGAAAAATGAACGGTTCCCGTGGGAACTAATAGATCTCTATTAGTGTTTTTTTAGAGGCGAACCCGAGTGAAGCGAGGGTAAGCCGCTAGTACTATAATAAAGCAAATAACTTTTTTTTTAAACAATGACTATAGCGTATTATGTACATTGTACACCTCCTTTCCTTAGAAACCTTCCGCTATATATAGTGTATTCTATTATTCTATACTTACCGTTAAAACGTACCTACGTTAAATAATGACTTGCAACACTGAGTTAATCGTAGATACAATCTCTCTCCCTGTCCCTCTCTCTATTTCTCTATTCTGAACTTTACTCAACTTTACTGTACTTTGATGTAACATTAAATTGCAATGAGGTCACAAACATTCACTCTTAAACTTTCGTATCGATAATCGAACTATTATAAGTGTGGACGTAAAATCCTTCAAAAATTCGGATGAGTATATAGATAAATTGTGACCTGACTTAACACAAAGGCTAAGGTAGGCACGTTTTATATGGACGCGCCAAAGCGACGAATTTGAAATATATGATAAAATTTTAAATGCTGAGCCTTTTGACACTTGAGAGGTCGGGAAAGATGAAAATACAGCCATTTTGAATGCAACTCAAAAGATCAATCGCAAAAAAACACAATAATTATTATCGAACGAATACATTCGTGACTACACACAGCAAGAGCAAGCAGTAGGCTCCTGGAATGAATCGAAAAAAAAGTATTCTAAAGGCCAAGGTTAGAACTAAGTTTTCATATAAAATTAGAAAAATGAAAAATATTAATCAGATTAATATTTATATATATATATATATATATATATATATATATATATATATATATATATATATATATATATATACGTATATAGTAATAGTGTTGCTTAGTAAGTTGTTTTTAAATAATAGCAAACCAAAATAAAATTATTATCCTTAATTAATTTTAACTTTTTTAAATTACACATAGAACAATTATATGGCTTAAATAATTAATACTATATTTTATATTTTTCTTTATGGTTATAAATTATAATAATGGCAGCACTAAATATAGATTACTAATTAATATTTTTAAAATTCTAATAATTATAAGAATAATAGCAAAAATTAAATAAATAATATTTCATATTCAATTATAATTAAAATTATAAAAATGTTTAAAGTTAAAAAATATTGTAATGTAATTGGTGCAATTTTCATTTTGTTAATTCTGGGTAGGCTGTCTGTAACAACTATACCTTCAAGACATGTAACACCTCAGTGATCAGTCTCTCCCGTGACCATGGATGCTGTAAAGCATTCGAAACGTCGGGAACCAAAAATCAAAATAAATCCGCGAAATAATCCGAAAAGATAGTTTTATTTAAAAATGTCAAACATTCGCGTAAATCTAAGAAAGTATTACATTAAGAAGTTCCTTCCGAATGTCTTCAAATATTACTGAAATAGTTTTTCAGATCATTATTCAGTTCTTTTTGACGTCCTATTGCTGGGTACAGGCCTCGCATTTTTTTTACACTTTACAAAGCTATTTGTTTATGTTCTGTGCTGTCGGCCGCGGAACTTTTATAGCCGTTTAATATCAAATTCATTCGATATCAAATTCCCAATAAAATGCCACATAACATCTCACATATCCACAATACCACCCACCAAATTTTAGGAATATTTATAAACCCTAGCTCTCCATCTCTAAAATGCAAAATATGATCTCTGTGTATTTTAATTTTCAGTATCTACGTACTTGACATACAAAGAGCATTAGTAAAAGTTTGTACGCGTTTTCGATCGAATATAAATTATTGTATACATATTATGTGTCAAATTGTGACACTGACAGATGACAGCGATAGTAGGTGTTGTTTGTTTGCAAAATGAGTGCGGAAACAACACAAAAAGTTTCAAAAACTTTTATATTCTCATACCCAACATGCACCAACGAGGATTTACTGTACACGCTCGAAGTCCCGATGGAGATCCCCTACGCAGGATCTACCCGCGAACTCGTGCAAAGACTTATAAATATGTTCAACTTACCGGTGTATATAGAAGATGGTAAAGTACATAATTAATTTAGTAAAGTGTTCCATATTTAAGTACTTTTTTAAAAACTAATCTTAATGTAATAATAGTTGTGATGTGTAATATTTTTAATTAAATTTTCCTTTTAATTATAGATCTGAACGAAAAATTAGCACAATTTGTATCAGAAGAAACAAAAACCTTCCATAATGAACGAGATGCAAAACTCCTAGATCAATTAAAAAACAATGAGTTGAATGTAGATGGTATAGTAAAAAACTGGGAAAAGCTGTTTAAAGAAAATGTTGTAGACTTTGCTGAACAGAAAGGTTCTTCTGATGAGGAAGTATTTGCTGCTGCATATCACAAACTGGTACATTCCCCAGCTTTAGAAACAATAATGCAAGTGGAAAGTGCATATGCCAAAACAGTTATGGACATGTTGAAAAATAGAGACGAAGATATTGAAAAGCTTACTAAAAGGTACATTTTCATACTCCTACGTTTTATATTAACTAGATTTTGTTTATGCTTTTGCAAATAATATAATAATTATGATATAAATATTAAAAAAGTTTGCAATTATTACTTTCTACACACAAACACACTTCGTCACACAGATTGTCTATTTACCTATTTAGGAAAGCATTAATTTTATTTTATAAATGTTTATGTATTGTTATATTGGTGTGGCAATATGATTGTTGTTTTGTTTAACTTACAAATACAAAAAGTATATATAAATAATTACAAGCTGATATTTTAGCTATAAATTTTCTGGATATCTATTACCTGTCAATTGTTTTAGGCAAACAGACGAAATGGAGGAGAAAGTGCGACTGCTTAATATATCAACTACTGAAGAAGAAATCAATGCATTAGCAGCGAAACATTTTGAACAACAAAGCTTAGCGGCGGGCCGGTGGGACTCCCAGCTGGATGCCTTGAGACATACTCAGAAAGCAGCTCATAGATCTTGGCTTATGACAGCTATAAATGAATATCAGACTGATGAAAAGGTTACTCCAAGGTTAGTTATTGATATTTGTCTTCATACATCAAGATTAGTCTAAGGCTTCATAAATTAGGTATTAAGATGACGTTTGGTCATCTTAATAGCAAATTTATGTAAAATAGAGTATTGTTTATGCCTGTATAATTTTATCTATACAATTGAAAATAATTCTTTAAGTGGATGTCACACATGCACTGTCTTACTGACTATATGGCCATTCATAAAAAGTAATTTCATTGCTGCTTCGAAGTATGAAAAATTAACAAGTTGTATTTGAGGATTTTATAGAAAAAAATAAATTTCAGTAACTCCCCACTCTGCTCATTCCCAATGGAACAAGCCATCTTAGCCCCACTTTTGCCGAGGCTGGAGGAGAGCTTCACTATTCACCTCGGATCACAGCTTAAACAGACCCACAACATACGCCTGGTTGCTGTGGATATGATGGACCTGTGTTCCAGCGACAGGACAGATGGGTGATTGTTTTACTTATGTTTGGAAACTAAATTGCACACATTAAATTTAATATAATCTCAAAATAATTTATAATAATGGTTTATCCCAATATGTTATTACTAATTTTTTTACAATTTTAATAATATTGCGTTACTTTTATATTTTTATTTATTTGTCTAGTCAACAAGTGCCTTTTAGGTCAACTTTTTTCAGCAGTCTCGGAAAAATATGAATGAAGTGTCATTCGATTCTGAATGGCTTGTAGTTGATTTAAAAAAAAATCCAGTTCTGCTTGTAAAAATTGCAAAAGTTATAAACAATTAACTAAAAATAAAAAAGGGGGGTTAGTTTTTTGCAAATATTTCAAATACAAATTGAGGTTTTTCAAGTCTAAAAATGATTCAAAAACGACGACGGACGAAATTTCCTAAAAAAAGGGTCGCAACTCCCAGAACTGTAGGACCAATATTTATAATTTTCCAGAGGAAAGAAAATACGGACTAAAACGTATGCTCTGGCATGCGCAATCCACGCCTACTTCGGACACTTTGTTAATAAATTTTAACATATTAAATATAAAATTAAAAAAATTAAAAAATCAGGGGCTTACTGGATAGATAAGTGAACAATAATCCGCCGGAAACATTTTTTATCACAACTTTTCAATTACTTATGCAATAATTAATCATAATTTTCTGCTTGAACATGAACATGTGTTGGCACACAGCGGCACGTGGTCGCGCGTGCAGCCCGCGCTGGCGCTGTACTCGCACGAGCTGTGCGGCGCCGTGGTGCTGGCGGACGCGCGCGCGCGCTCGCCGCTGCTGCGCGCGCCCACCGACCACCACTTCCCCGACACCGACGCGCAGCTGCGGCACATACTCGACGCAGTCAAGGAGCCGGTCGGTCACATTCACACATGTGAATGCTCACACTCTTATATATACATACGCAGACGCATAGTGCATACGCGCACGCAAACACACACACGTGCTTAAAGTTTAAATACTAATACGCTTTTTATCGACTTACACGAGCCAAGCCATAGGCACAACGTCACTAACCAGTACATAACAGATATTCGTAGTAAGGAACAAGTAACAGCACACGAGTAACGAGTAATGTATTACAGGCGGAGAGGCGCAACCAGGAGCGGCTCAAGGCGGCGGGGGGGGCGCGCGGGGCGCGGGCGCGGCGCGCGCTGCAGCCGGGCGACGTGTGCGTGACGCGGCACAGCAACCTAGCGGAGGCGCACGTGCTGTTCCACCTCGTCGTGGACGACGAGTCGCTCAAGTCTGGTCTGTGCCTGTGCTTGTCACTGCTGTTTGTTTGGTCGTTGACGCCAACGGGTGTACACCTTGATGTTACAAATGATAGAGAGTAGATTTAATAATCTACAACCATTGATATGTTTACAGTTCACTTTTCATTGCTGAATGTATTATTCTGACATTTCCTAATATACTGTACCAGGGAATAGTTGTACAAACTTCTATGGCCGCGTTTAGTGGGTCGAGCTACGCATCATCCCCTTTAAAATTTTAGTAAAAATACTTGGTACTGATCCATATCGTCGAACGAAGACGAGACAATCGTTCGGGTGGAGGCGCACCCGATTGTCATAATATGATTTAAATTTTTATATGAGACTTGGGAAATTGCTTTAGGGTTTGATATAACCGTAATATGCCACATAATGACACTCATGCTTTAAACTTGAAGCAATTAGTCATGAAAATATTTTTTTCATTTGAAAATAACGTGGTTCGTGCGTGGTGCAGGGGACATCACGTCGCGCCACCCCGCCATCCTGGGCCTGCGCAACGTGCTGAAGGCGGCGTGCTGCAACGACGTCACCTCCGTCGCCATCCCGCTGCTGCTGCGGCACGAGATCACGGAGGTGACCATGTTTGCTCATTAAAAGCAATAGTCATGCTATGAGTTATTTATAGGAATTACAAAAAATTGTATGCGTGTCAGTGTGATCAAGCTAAACCGACTGGATGGATTTGGGTACAATTTAGTATACAGGTAGATTATAACCTAGAGTAACACATATTGTTAGTTATAATACAATTTGCTTAAAGATAGCGTTTACTTGAGAAATGATTGATTATCCCATACAAACTTTCACTCTCCATTTCATTCCCTTATATAATCATCCCGATTTTCGAGGTAAAACTATTCTACGTTTTTTTCATTATATAGAACTTTAATAGATACCATATTAAAATTTAATAGATATGGTATGGATTATAAATCTCTCTTATTTAAATTATCTCTTCTAAATGATCTCTTCTTTAAATCGCTAAGGTTTATATTTAATTAAAAAAAAAACAATGGCATCAACCTCAAAAATACGAAATGTTAATTTGAGCTCGTTTTAGTGCCGACGAATATAGAACTCAGTTCAGTGTTGATGGTGATGATGTGTGCAGGAGATGACGGCGGCGTGGTGCCTGCGGCGCGCGGAGCTGGTGCTGAAGTGCGTGAAGGGGTTCGCGCTGGAGGCGCACGGCGGCGGCGGCGCGGCGCTGCGCACGCTCACGGCGGCCGTGCCGGGCGCGCTGGCGCCGGGCGTGTTCGCGGCGCTGGCGGCGCTGCTGCCCGCCATCTTCCGCGTGGCGGGCCCCGTGCGCGCGCGCCTCGCCAGCGCCTAACACGATCCTAGCACGGTCATGCTATGAGACGGTGTAGTGGGCAGATTCCTTTAGAGTAACACCATTAACGATTTAGAATAAACAAGAATCAACTTTTTTTTCCATTACACGTGATATCTACTTAAGAATGTTAAGTCTTTATAGAACTTTGCGACCGTGTACACAATAATTGTATGTTTTCACATACCTACACTATTAGAGTGCATGTTGTTCTCCAGTAATTTGGAATGCATTTTAAACATTGTCCAAAGATTTTTTTTTTTGTATTTTTAATTTTTACATGTCTTTCTATTGGATGTTCCTTAATAAATAAATAAATAAATCCCAGAAAAGATTTAAGGATTGTCACCTACACTAGCAAAGTATAAAGAACAAAAGTCGAAGAACGTAGTTAAAATTTACTCTAATTATCGTATTCATAATAAATAGTAATTTAGTTCGTAGTCTCTAAAAATATTATGTTGCAAAAGTTAATAAAAACTTCTTGTACATTATTATTTTTTTAATAATTTTGTTAATTATAGTATATAGATAATAAAACAAGATGTACATATAATCACATATTTATTAAAACTTATATAACAATTGAAATAGCAATTTTTATTTATTCCAAACGGCGCGTCACCGATATTGTTCCCGTGTAATTACATTACCGCCATTACTTGTAACGGCCGTTTCATATCCACAATGTTCATGCACCAGACACATCCATGATCCAGCCATAACAGCTCGGCTGACCAAATTTCTACCGTTTCTAAATAGAAAATACATATAATTGAAAACTAAATTAAAAATAATATTTTTAAAATTGTGACAAAAAAGTATACTATGAAATATTCCAGTTTTCTAAAGTCAAAATAAGTGATGCAAATGTCCAACAATACTTGGTCACCGAACTGCAGGCAGAGGACTGTATATAATTTAACCTGACAACAGTTACAAAAAATATATTTCATTATTGATGAACAAAAAACCTATCTTTCTACTGATCGTCCCACCACAGATAGGATCTAAGTAGTAAGATACGTTATTAATTTTAACCAGAAAATATTTTGGAAAACAAAATTGTCTATATTAACGTACAAATACGTACTCACTCACATTACTCTTTCAATTAAGTCGCGAATTAACATTTTGTAGTAACATGAAATTTGGTTACATTCTTATAATTTAAATAGAAACGATAATTCACTAAATATAAGACAAAAGAGCACTCCTTATAATAAGTGATATAGGGAAATTAACCACTTATTGTCCTCCACATTGTAATTGTACATGATATCTTAATTTACTCCGCACCCGCTCGTTGGCCCCGAGGCCTGAGCCCACCCATCAGACCCTTTGGGAAACAATATATTAAGAAATATATTTTATACACTAAATACTAAAATACTAATATCTATCTTGTTTATTGTCAGCATTTTAGTACACTTTACAGATTGTTCCCAATGTTGGCCCCGACTGCCTTCAGGGGCAACGAATAAATGCAGTCACAGATCTTACATTACACTACAAGTAATGAAAACAAAAGGTTATAATGTCAAGAAATATAAATTGTTACGTTGTGATAGTAGTGTAGTGAAAAAATGATAAAAGACATAATTTGAGGATTTGTATACATTTGATTAATAAACTCAACAAAAAATCTAAATATGTACATACAATACTCTCTTTTGTGATAAAGTTTAGTTCAATCATGCGTTAGTGGTTTTTGATAAAATTGCAGAAAGAAACCTTTAAAACAATACAAACCTCACACAATCAATAAAACAATTAACTAAAATCCGATTACATAAATTATGAAATAGCTTCTATTTACCCAAAATTATGCCTTTAGTTGATAAATGAAATATTTTTTCTGAATATCAAGCAAAGGCACAATAACTCAAAGCAATAACAAATATTGAAAATAAATATTGTAGAGCAGTTCTTCTCTGGTGATAATAAAAAAAACCGTATCAAATTTTAATTTAGAGTGTTTATCAAATAATTATATAAATTCCAGAACTTATATCATTGGACTTAGTCAAGCTTTTGCTAAAATAAACTTAAATGCACAATTATGTTCTTTCCAAGGCAAAACATATTAAAGAGTAGATAAAACGTGCAGTTATAAAATCATCACAATAAAACTATGTATACTTCTACAGATAAAATTAAAAAAAATAGAACTAGCACTCGTTAAGGAAATTAAAATACAAAGAAAGGGCACCGAAAAGAAACATGCAAGTTATTCATAAATTTGTACTATTATACATTATTTCAATACAAAATACTGTAGCTAAGTGGACTCGCGTAGGCGATAGTCAACTTCCACATAACATTGGTGTTAAACGCAATTTAAAACTATATCTATGTAACAACGTCATGTCAATTAAAATACTAATAAAATAAATGTTAAGTGTCTCAGATACATCAATATTCTAAAGTATGAAATGTATTCACTAGCGAAATCGTTCGGGTTACAGCGTAAGTTAAACAATCAATAATACGCCTTCAAGCCGTGCCGAGTGCTGCGCGCTGCGGCCAGCTGATTTAATTTTAACAAAACAAAATATTTTAGTACGTATGATTTGTACATTTTACGAGTTAAAAGCATAATTAAAAAGAGTACTAGATACACAATCAGTGACTAAAAATGCCCTCACCAAATGAGCGCCCGTTTGAACATTTGAGTGCACTTTTATTGTGAAAACTACTTTAAGCATTGCATTTACATTGTTGTATATTTATTTTTACTAGAACAATTACCTAAACACAATTGGTGGCAGTTTTAAGAGAACTTTTGCATGGGATTGTGTCTCTAGTACTTTTTGATCGATGGTTAAGACACTACTGAACCTAGAACTAAGCAAAGATATGAGATTTAGCGCTTCATAATTTGCAGAATAAATGTTAGTAAATTAATAACTATTACGTTATTAATTTACTAATATTTATAAGCAAAATGGAGACATATTATGTAAGTGCCATTCAACATAACAAGTTGTTTATATAAATTATGCAATTTAGGATACATTTTCGCCAAGTTTTATTAAACAGACAATTTTAAAACGCTCACATTGTACACAATGATGAGAGTGCCGCTGTTTATAATTATATTACATTGGATGTACAAGTCACAGTACCAAATATATTAATACTATCTTTAAAAGCAACAAAAGCGCTTCTTTTGAGATATATGTCATAATGATTTAAATCACAAAACATACATAAAATACACATTTTCCATTTAAATTATTTTGGCATCTCACATTATTCCCTTGTTGTCAGTTCGGACATTCGTAAATCCCTATCAAAGGATATTGAGTAAACTATGTTAAAAACTATAATTTATAACAAATCTTCACAAAATCTAGCTTTCGTCTTTCATTATATCTGCAATTAAAAAAATTATTTAAAAAATGTGTACTCAGTGATTTTTCATATATAGATAATCGATTTGATTCCATCTCTTTATTGTTACAATTCTACACAATGAAAAAAGCTTACATAAGTTTCTGGATAAATTTTGATAAAAATGAACGCTGTGTGCAGAAAGAAATAAATATAATTAATTTATTTCAATTGACTTCTAGCAATTAATAAGAGTCCATTATGACAGCATATATAAAAATATACAGTGTAGTTACAAGTAATTGAGTAGTAGGCCCACCTAAGCGTGTGCCGCGCTGCGGGCGGCTACCGGCGGCGGCCGCGGCTGGCCGTGCGCCGCGTGGCTGCGGGCAACACGTGCAAAGTTAGCTTTAGTATATCTGCTAGTAAGCTATAAAACTGACTATCTTATATATTTTAACCGAGTTGTGTGCTCTAATAGCTAGCTCATTTCGTTGTATTATAGATCATAAGGTATTGGATTCGAGTCGCGGGTCGCGACGGGCTAGTGTAGTTATTAAAGATTTTTGGGAGAGTTCATAAGTTAGCGGTGTAACGCATATTTAAAATATTTTTAAATTCTCTTTACCACTTCATTAGATCAGGCAACAACTACATCTAAAGCGTTTCACAATCACATATTCATAAGAAGCATTCAAACTAGATAAAATGATAAAGTCACTCTAAATCAGAAATGATGCAAAAATAACAGTTTTCATGTACAATGTAAATAAACATACCTTCTGCCTGCGCGAGGGCGCGCGTGGCGCGGCGCTTATTCGTCTCGACAACGGCGTCTGAGGAGCATACATTCACATAATTACATTATTTCCTATAACACGATCTTATCCCACGGGAACCAGATAAAATCCGTGGATAAGGAGTACACTATGAAAATACCTGAAAATGGCCCATTCGCTAACTAAACAGATAATTTAATTCTGACAATATTTGGGGGATTGGCACTGTATGCCATAATACAGGTCTCCTAGTACGGCAACAGAGACAACCGTATTATTTGTATTGATAATTTAAATTGTCTCAAATTGTACTGTACAATATGCTTTTCAACTACAATATGTGTGTATTTTTGTAAAATAAAGTATTATTATTAATATATTACTCTCCTGTTCATAAATTATCTCTGTGCAAATCCTTTCACTACTAGCCTATAATACAATTGCAGATATACACCGTCGCAATTACAATATGAAATGAGAACTGATAAAAAGAAAATTTACTTTACCTTTGGCAGGTTCTTCGATAGCTGTTTTCCTCTTTCGACCCCTTTCCACTTTGGGAGCCTCCGGCGCTTCTTTTTCTACCGCAGCCTGAAATTTAACAAAAATATAACCTAAATAACACTCAAAGGATATATAAAAGTTAACATTATCGATTTGAAGTTAGCTAGTAGTGAGACGTTGTTCTAAATTTATATAAAAAAAATTAAACTAACCTCTTTGACTCTTGTGATTTCAATTTTTAGTTCTTTTACAGTATTCCTTGTCTTCTTTGTTTCAGCGTTCCCTTCTTTATCTTTTTTTGTGTCTTTCTTCCCTTTACCTTTAACTTCAACATGTTTGTCGCTGCCGGCGCCGCGGCGACCTCTGGGTACGACTTCAACACTCTCAGCCTCCACCGCTTTGCCTTTAGCAACTTTTCCTTTATTATCTGAAACTTCTGCATTATCTTTCGCTTTACGCCCTCTGGTCCTCGTTTCTTTGACGTCTGTGCCGGCTTTTCCTAATTCTTCTACTTTTTCCTGAACTCTCCGTGATCGTTTATTTGGAGCGATTTCTTTAGTTTCTACTTTCTCTTGCGTTTTTCTTGTTCTTCTATTTGTAGACTTCTCAGCCTCAGCTTCTACACTACTTTGGGTTTCAGTCTTCGCTCGAGTTCTACGGCCTCTATTACTGATTTCGACCTTGGGCTCCTCAACAGTTACATTTCGACGGCCTCTTTTAAGAGGTTGTTGTGCTTCAATAGGTTTTACCTCAGTCTTTCTCCCACGCCTCGTGCCTAGCTCGGGTTGAGTTTCTACTACATTCGTATCATTTGTAGTGTTAACGGTTGTCTTTCTGGATCGCCTTGTTTTGACTTCCTTTACTTCTTCGGCAACTTCACTCTTAGTGCTTCTTGTGGATCTCGGTTTCAGCTGTGGAGATTGTTTACTTACAACCAAGGTAACTTTTTTGGATCGCGTTTTTTTAGGTGTTGCGACTTTGGGTCGTGCTTCGGGCTTCTGCCGGGTAGCTCTTGGTCTTACAACATTTGTTTCTTCTATTTGAACATCTTGCTTTGTTTTTAGATTAGATTTGGGAGTCAGTACTGGAGGTTTCTTTGTAATAACTATGGACGATCGTCGCTTTTTAGTATTTGTTATTGTAATTTCTTTTGTTTTCCTTCCTCTTGTGGCCCTCGCCGGCACCGGGCTGGGCTCAGAGCGCTTCGCGCGTGTCCTGTGTGGTGATGGTTGCAATAAAGCTTCTGGGTTAGGAATCTCGGGCAGTTTTATTTTTCTGCCTCTTGTTGGTTTTCGTTTTGGAGATTCTTTTGGCGGCTGTAATGTTCTGGAATATAATTATTTCATTAGGAAAAGTAATAAAATGTCTATTGTATATTAATTTCTTACTAGACATTACAAAAAGAATTATTTAAATAGAATGTCGTTTTTTCAAAGGGTAACACTTATGTTATTTATTATACGTCCTAACCACAATTATTTATCCTACTCTACACATATCTTCTTAGTCATGAACTATATTTATTAAAGTAAAAAAAGCAAACAAAGCTTACCCTGCAGTGATGTCGTCGGTGCCGTCGACGGGCGCGATAGGCGACACGCGGCCCAGCTCCGACGCGTTCATGGTGGCGTTGGCGGCGCCCTTCACCGGCGTGGAATGCACCACCGTGCGCTTCTTGATCGGCAGCTTGTTCTTCGGTTCATTGCCACTTTTGTTCGCAACGTTCACTAAAGACCTCTTCTTGATAGGCAACGTATGCGCGCTGTACACCTCCGACGCCGACTTCTGACGCTCGGTTACGTCCAACTGGATTTTATTTAGAGTACTGTTTCTAACTCTCGACGAACGCAACGGCGTGTTGCCTTCCACCGTGTCCGTCGTTAGCTTCTGTAGTTCGCGCGTCGAGTTGAATATACTTATTGATTTCTTTGGCGTCGGCATTTTGGTCTCCATTCGCTTCTTCAGTTCGTTCTCTAACCACTCCTCGACGTTGTTAGTTATCTGGTTGATCGAGTCGTGTAGAGATTTGGCGTTACGAGCCTGTCTCGCTGGTTTGACGACTTTAGTGAAGCTGTTAGCCTTTGCATAGGACCGGACGCGGGGTTTGCCCATCAATTGGTCAAACGTACTGTCGAGGTTGGAAGGTTCGTAGAACAGTTCCTCGAGTCCACTGATATCACTCAAATAATTCTTTTGTCCCTGTTCCCTATATAATTGTTTCACACCTCTCACATCAGTTAAGTCGTTTCGTGGAGAGTTCACTCTCAAACCTTTCTTAACTCCGGACACATTACGTAAGTCATTGCGCGGACTGTTTCTAAATAGGTTCTTGACACCTCTCACATCTTCTAAAGTGTTTTTAGGTGTTCTACCTTTTCTCCCCGTTTGAAACAGCGCTTTCACGCCCGACACGCGCCTTAAGTCGTTTTTGGGTGATGAGGCAAACATTTTTTTAACCCCAGATACGTTTGTCAAGTCATCTTGAACGGCTTTTTTATTACGGGGAGTTCGTAACAACGATTTCACGCCTCTGACGTCTCGCAAATCGTTTTCAGGCGTGTCCTTTCTGAACAGCCGCCTTATTCCGCTCAAATTCGGACTATTCCCGGGCGAGCTGAGCGGACTCACGAACACGTCCGGAGTAAACGTTGCCGTGCCGTTATTTCCCAGTTCGATCAGAGACGTGTCGGGGGAGCCCCCGGCCACAGTACGGCGCGCGCGCCGCGCGGGCGCCGCTTCCTCATCCTCAAATAGCTGCTTCCTGGAGAACTCCGTTATGCTTTGAGATAGCTTTCTTTTCACAGGACTATTAAATAACTGTTTGACAAAGTCAGATTCGTCGAGATTATCAATTATGGAGCGTTTCGACGTTGGTTTCTTAGCGGTAGAGTGTTTATTTTTGACACCCTCCTGAACTAACTTCACTGCACTTTTAGGAGTTACGACCTCAACATTTTGCAACACTTGATTTTCCGTGAAACTCGGGGGTGACTTTCTAGCTCTCAGCGACCTTCGGCTGGTCATATTTAGGGATCGAGACTTTATACTCAGTTTCAATTTCTTGTTTTCTGAAATATTGCCAGCAATAGTTTTTCGTTTGGGATTTCTTCTAGTGTTCTGCGATTGGTCAGCGATGGAGGTGTGGCTCGAGGCGCTCTGGTCCAGCAGGCGCTGGATGCGGAGCACGGGCGTGGCGGGCGGCAGCGGCGCGGCGCGGCGCGGCGGCGTGGCGGGCGCGGACACCGCGATGCTCTTCGGCACGGGAGTCGACACATTCGACTTATTCCCACGTGAAGATTTCGGGGAGTCATTGTCGTCATCCACCAGAAGAATGTCGCTGTCGTTGATCCGCGATCTACTGCTACGCACTTTGGATATTTTAGTACTATTAAAGGTGATGTTTTGCGAGTTCTCTGGTGTAGTCATGGAGGCATACCTTCTGGTCGACACTCTAGATATCGAATTTATGGTGTTTTTAGAAGTTTCTGGGCTCGCATCGACCGCAGCCGGCCTGTCGTTATACGGCGTACTAGAGCCTAATAAGTTAGTGGACCTCGTTTTCCTTGTGAGTGTCTGTGGAGTATCATAATTAGCCGAAGTACTGTTCGAGTCTATCGAATTGTATAACGATTGTTGAGATTCATTCGAATCTATCGACACTAAGTCGACTATAGAGTATGCTTCTACGTTTTGCGACGTTCTCGGAGTGAATGTTCTCGTCTTTCTCGCCGAAGTGACCGTGTTGTAGCTTTGGTCCGACATAGTCTTGGTAGACCTGCGCGAGAACCGCGACGACTCCGAGTCGGGGCTGTCCAGTGCTTTCTGCAAAATGAGACTGCCGCGTGACGACTTCCTTGCTCGAGGAGACTCGGGTGTCAGAGCGCTGTGCTCTGCCGACGGTGAGTGTGTGAACGTGGCGCCTAAAGACTTCTCTAGCATCTTACTGCTCCTAGAGTGTATAGATTTTCTCGGCGACGGCGAGCGAGTGGATGAATCTGAATAATGTAAAGTGAGGTCGTCCTCTGAAGCACTGTTGTCCGAGCGGTCCTGCGTCGTGTTCGTGACGAGCAACACTTCCGACGATCGATTGTTAGGAGACGTTGTGTTACTTTCTAAGTTACTCAAATCAAACTTAATAGATTCCGTTCTCCTGGCAGTCTTCTTAGTGGAGGGATCTTTTAGAGACGACTTCTTGGGGCTCGGCAGAACTGGAGATTTCAAGGAAGTTTTCCGAGCAGAGCGCCGCGACATGTTTCTCTGACGGGTGGTCGGTGTGTCTGAATCTGTTATCTCAAGTATTGTAGTCTGAAACAAATTGAAATATATACAATTGAAATTATCAAAGTAATTACAGTTAAAACCGTTTATGAGTACATCGTTTAGAACAACATATCGGTTATATTGACCAAAATCAAAGGTCCCGGTTGAATGCTATATGACCGCCTTATTAAAAACATTGCTTTTTACGACATTGCTTATTACGAGATACCTCTTTAAACGATTACATTTAACTAATATCTTCGGCGAATCATATCTATTAGAACAACCGGCTGTATTGTAAGCAATTTGAATAGGTAACAGTATCCACATCTGGCCCTGGGGACTCAGCATAATGGTCAATGGCTATTAAGATCGCAAAAGTAAACAAAAATTTGTCGAGTTTTGGGTCTTTTGTAATTCTTAGAAACAAAATACACGTGCATGCAGTATAATCAAAACCCGCTTCTTCATATCTCTTCATTCAGTTTCTTATCTGTACACACAAGACGCACCAAATCATAAAGTCGAGTTATTTGTGAAACTTTTAACATGTCGCAAAGAAAAAGAAAACAAATTAATATCGAGGACAAATCGCATATTATATCAAAGCTAGAGAGCGGAATTCCAAACAAAGACTTGGCAAAAGAATATGGTGTATCACACTCGACAATGTCAACCATTTGGAAAGAGAGGGAAAAAATGCAAACCCTTTATGACAGCATTTTTTTGAAAATGAAACGAGCCAGAACAGCGAAGCATACGAAGATTGAGGAAGCTTTGTTAAAGTGGTTTAAATATCAAAAGACAAATAATGTGCTAATAAATGGACCAATTCTTTAACAAAAAGCAAACGATTTTGATCAGCGTTTTGGTGGAAGATTTCGTTTGCTCTCTCTCTCTCTCTCTCTCTCTCTCTGTATATATATATACACATTCAATAATACCACTTCATAAAAAATACTTTGTACCGAAAAAGCATCACCGGCTGCTACGACTATCGGTTTGTACGACCAAATATGAGTGGTCCCTTCGATGTCGTTATAACATATTTTGACTGTATTTAGTTAAAGATGGTGTCGGAAGAATTTTCAACAATCTGTTCAGCAGTTTAGTTCAGTAGTATTATTGTTTATGGACAAACAAATAAATTTTAAATAGTGTGAAAAACTTTTTAACAAAAAATAAAAACCGACTTCCAGGCACTAAAATGTAAAAAATAACTAAACGGAGGTTTTCATTTAGAATAGATACCTAATCAGATATTTTTGAAGTCGGTGCCAGCCGATGCAAAGCAAATCTAATATATTTCGATACGTAAAATACATATTTACCTATTAGATATTCATATTTTAAAATATTGTAGGCCGGCACCGCACCGACTTCGATAATATCTGATTAGGTGTTTATTCTAAATGAAAACCTCCGCTTAGTTATTTTTTACATTTTAGTGCCTGAAAGTCGGTTTTTATTTTTTGTTAAAAAGTCTTTAATTTTCCATTTTTAGTGTAGACGTAATAAGCAGGTAATTTGTAAGAAGAAAGTTTTTTAATAACATATTCGATTAAACTATTTAAAAAAAAATTATTGTTGATTTTTTAAAAAGCGCTCGACCGATTTCGGTAAAATTTATATGGGACCACCTGGGAAACACACCCTTTGAAACAAAAAAAAATTTCCAAATCGGTTCAGCCGTCTTCGAGTAATCGGTGAACATACATAAAAAAAGGTTCCGACGAATTCAGAACCTTCTCTTTTTTGGAATTGGAAGTCGGTTAAAAATAGACACTTCAGTCCTGAACGCCGTCACTGAGGATGAATTGCAAATAAATATAAAATACATAATTATTCAAAAAACGAAACTATTCAATTATAAAATCAGCCGACACTGCATTTTATTCTGATCGTCCTGCCCTCCGCTAACCTATTAGTAACTTCTAGATTTAGTTTTAGAATATTACTCTACTAACTTGAAAAATATCCCAACATAAATTCTTAATTAGTAAAAATTACGTAAACATTTACCATGTAGTTATTTAGAATTAAACACAACACACACAAAGCGAAAAGAATATCATTATTTATTGTTACAAATATAAATGATTTTAACAACTCACAGTTTTGTTAGCCGCAGAGCTCCTGGAGCTGTAGGTGCTGGCGCGTCGCGGCGTCGCGCCTATAGACTTGCTGCCTCCGCCCGCCTTCGCCGCGCTCCTCTTGTTGGGAGTCTTCCGCACGGGGCTGGGCCTCTTCACCGCCAGCGACGGCTGCTTGGGCCTGGGCGTGTGGCCCGCCATCAGCATGATGGCGGCCTGCTTCGTGTGATCTAGCGACGACACAATCATGTCCTTTAGCACACGCAAATAGTGGAGGAACATTGTTAGACTTACAAAAGTATACAAATCGAACGATTCGAACCGCGACTTGACTCCGAATAAAAGTAACTGTAGTGGAACAGTTATTTTTGCAATTTAAGATTGTGAAATAATGAGTTTCATCAGTAAAATTGTAAAGATGTACATTTTCAATACCATTAAAATTTAATTGAGCAGAATAAAAACTTTTCTTATTTTTATTACAATGAAAAAATATAGCTAGTTTTGGAAATTATATAGCGTATCTACTAAACTCCTAATGTTTCACTATTTCAAGTAAATCCGTTCAATAATAATTAAGTCAACAAAATGCCACATTGACGTGTGTTTTTGTGCAGTTTACAATAACAGTGCAAGGCGGTGGAGGCGGCGCACGTTATTAACATTATCTCGAAATTAGAATTTCGTGCAGTTTTTGCTCGGCGCCGCCGCCGCGGGTGAACAACCGCGCGCCGATAGCTGACGAATTATACACTTTTATTTTTTATACCTATCGTTGTTTGCGATTATGTCTGCGAGTTATGTTAACTTTTTAGCAAAAAAAAAAAACAAAAATAACACTGATGTTTGAATAAATGAATAATAGAATTCACGTGAACTTATTGCAAAGAACATAATATACCTGTGCCTAGTTTTGCTATTGAGCCTAATTTATGAAGTCCCGGGTTCTAATTTAGTAAAGCCGAATAGTTTATGGGTTGTACGAGCATATTGTCAAGAAGTCCTGAATGGATGGGGAAGTGATGAATGGTAGTTAGAAAGTAGGTTTGTCATTTATTCGTCCTTTATTATCCATACACCTGTATCGGTTCTTGTTAACTAATACACTATTAGATTGATAAAATGCAAAATGTTTGGAATTAACACTTGATACTATTTATTTATTAATGAAAAAATGGTTTTTATAACTTTCGTGACTAATTTTAAACAAAACTATCATTTCGAATTTAGCAGAGACTCTTCCGTGACATGAAAGCTGTAAAGCATTCGAAGTCGGGAGCCAAAAAATTCGCGAAAAAATCCGAAAAGATAGTTTTATTTAAAATGTCAAATATTCGCGTATATCTAAAAAAGTATTAATTTAAAAAAATAGGTATTATAGCGAGGATAGGATCATCCACCACGTGCATCTCTAGTCTCTACTGCTTATAATTGTTTAACATATTGTTTTCAAATGAATCAACTTATTCATATATACAGATAAATAAAATTGGAGTATCTGTTTGTAAAATTAAAATAACAGCTTTTTACTAAATGCATATGAAACTACATATATAAGTTACTCATAAGAAAAACACAATTTTTAAATTTTCTGTCTGCCTGTCGGTCTGTTTGTTCCGGCTAATCTCCGAATGGCTGGAGTGATTTTGACGGGACTTTCCGTGGCATGTAAGTGATGTTATAAGGAGTGACTTTGGCTACTTTTATTTTAGAAAAAGAATTAGGATTCCACTCAAAAAATTAAAACGTACCTAGTTACAACGCACCCGAGCGAACCGAGAATAAGTCGTTAATAAGCAATGTAAAATTGAAATTATAACGTGAATAATTTTTCATTATCACACCTACTACATACTCATGTCACGTTGACCCTGAAGTTTTATTCATAATAATTTAAATTTTATATTTGTTTAAAGTTTATTCTCAATTTAATATTTTTATTTTCTTTTACTTAAAAAAATATTTATTGTTTAATTTTCTCATATCAATGTTGAGAGGTATTTTCGATAAGTCTTTTTTTTTCAAATTACTTAAAACTTTTTTTAAAATTTATTTTTCAAGTATGAAAAACACTAAAAAACATTATTTAAATAAAATTCACCACCACCAAGAAACCACGTATATAGCCACCAAGTTACTATCATAAAAAAATCCGTTAAGTGCGAGTCGAATTCGCACACGAAGAGTTTCCTGCCATCGTACATGAATCGTATTAATATACTCTATGTATGTAGTATATTAACTTCGATGATCGATTACGAACGTTAAATGTTTCTTGTATTTTTATTTTTATTTATTTTTATTATTTGTTGTTGTAGCGGCAACAGAAACACATACTCTGTATTTGATCTCATACTGACCTCTAACAACCGAGCGGAAAACGGATAGCGGTAGCTCAGTAATAGGGTTCCTTTGGCACCCTTATGGTACGGAACCCTAAAATGTGATATAACAAATATATCAACATATGTAATGAAAATATAATGAACATATAACTGCGACTGTCGCGCTCTGGTGCGCGGACTTTTTGTTTTAGCTTTAGCTGAAGCTTTTTATATACATTTTTTTTGTTATTAAAAGTGGCAATTTTAGGTGTTCAGTTACATCGTACAATTCCGAAACAAATATCTAAATACAAATGTGTAAAAAGATTTTATAAGCATGTAGATGAAAGTATCGTCGCGTGTAGGGGGCTCACCTATGACGGCGGGCGCCTGTATCTTGTGGACGCGGGCGTGGGAGTGCGAGTGCGCGCGGCGCAGCGCGGCCAGGCGCAGCGGCGCCGGCTTGCGCGACTCGATCCACAGCGACGCCTTGGTGGGGCCCGGCAGCCGCGCCGCCGGCGACCTATCGTTGTATACGCACCGATACTGTATTATTATGCATTTAGACTCCATCAAATGCATATGCGTGCATGCATATAAAAAGAAAATTATGTAGCATGAGGCTGCTACTAAGTATTTCTTGACAGAAAAAACCAATAATTAAGGTTGCCTCGACCCAAGATTCGAACCCGGGAACTGTAGATTTACAGCCATGCATGCTAACCAAGAAGTCAGTTACCATGGTAAAACATCACTTATGAAAATGTCATCATATTCAGATATATATTGATGGAAAACTTTTTTCCCAAGCTCCCGAGCAAATACGTAATGTCATTAGTATATTATATAATATCAATATTAAGAGCAATAAATACTCGTAAATGTAATATTAACTGGAATATAATACACAATACGCCAAGCGTGTACGTACCGGGCGTGCGCGTCGGGCGCCGCGTCGTCCGCGTCGCGCGCGCGCTTGCCCCGCGGCGATGCGCCCGACACTGCATTTACACGACTCCAATTAACATATATATATGAAAAACAAAAATAAATCTATCCCACGGGAACCGTGTATTTTTCCGAGATAAAAAGTAACTTACGTGCTATCCCAGACTATAACATATCTCTGTGGAAAATTTAATCCAGATGCGTTCAGCCGTTCTGGTGTGATTGAGTAATAAACATCCATCCAAACTTTTCTTACAATAACAATATAATATGTAACTAGTGACATACCCTCACTTCTCCCGGATGGCTTCCTAGATGTATTACTCTAGATCATAATTTACTATCTGAGTACTGAATTTCTTTTAAAGTTCCCTCCAGTTATTTAAACATGAAGAAGAAACAAATATTTAGAATTTATAGCAGTAGCTCGATTTTTTTTTTTTTTATTTATAAAATATAAACTTGCAACCAGTGGTTAGACCATAAGCAAATTGTGGGATAACATGGTTTTCCTGGTGGGGCGGCCAGCGCCGCTGCTACCAATCAAATTAGATGTCCCTTCTAAGTATCATGACCACTGCAGACTGGTCCAAAAAATCCGCTACAAGTAGATTTTGGTGCACAGAAGATATGATGATTGTCATCATTAAAATTTACTATTGTCATATTTTTATAATTTTGGTGATTTGTAATAAAATATATATACCTTTTTTTTTTTTTTTAACGTTGGGAAATGCATTTACGCACGAAGTGTGGGACTCACCGGCGAAGCCAGTACTACCCACTAAAACCCAACAAAACCTTCCTCCGTCTTAATGGGGCGTCGCAGGATCGCTTACGCATTCAACTACGACGCCCCGACGGCAGGTCTGCCGAAGCAGACCACAACAACCATGGGGTTGCTCCACGGTCCACTCTGCTATCAGAAAAGTACCAGGAGCAACCCGCATGGTATACCACCCTCCGAAGAAGGCCGCCTCCCACCGCCCACCGAAGCGGGCCACCTCCCTGTGCGTTTCTTGGCTTCGTGAGTACACTACTGAGCCCCCCCACCACGACAAGGTGAACGCACGTTGGGGGGGAAAATATATATACCTGAGTCAAAACAAAACTCTACAAAAACATAATATAACTTAAAGAAATCATTGTATTATCTTCATCACACACACATCAATTACTTACAATTTTGATCATTGGTATCTCGTCTTTGCGGCTGCACAATAGCCACTTGCTTGCCACTTGATGAACCTAAAAGAAATGTTTTAGAAATTAACTATATTTTTTTTATAGTTTAATTAAGTTCGCTTTTGTTTTGTAAACTTTTCAATCTAAGATGTAACAATTATGCATTTTTATGTTTTAATAGGTACACTTTAGCTTCAGTGTGTAAAATTAATATAATATGCATAATATGTATGTGTTTCTAATTCTATGAATGTGTATAAAATAATTTAAGTGAGTAAATACTTCTATAAACAAAATCGAGTTCAAGCTGTCTAAATATTCAAATTTTAGCATATTTTACATATATATAATTACATATGTAAACATTATTAGTAATTTAGAATAAAACCTATCTTTTCGGTTGTTTTCACGGATATATCTTGATTTTTGATTCCCAACATTTCTAAAGCTTTACAGCAATCACGGTCACGGTAGAGACTCAAAAATCCGGGAGGGGAAATCCGAAAAAATAGTTTTATTAAAAATGTAAAATATTCGCGTAAATGTTAGAAAGTATTAGTTATTGGTGAGATAAATAGTGTAGCAACTGACTGGGCATGGAGGCGCGGTGCGGCGGCGCCAGCGGCGCGCGCGCGGATGGCGCCGACACGCGGCGGCGCGCGCGGGACCGCGCGGCGCGCCGCGCCAGCGCTGCGGGCACACAATACACACGTTACACACTCAGTATTATTACTTCAATAAACCATACATTATATACATTATTTTTTTTTCAAGTTGAACGAGATTTACCACTTACTGTTTTTAACATACTTTTATAAGTTACCCTTAGTACTTGTAACAGTAAGTTAGTGGAAAAACTGTGTGTGGTAAATATCCAATTTTATATCATAAAAATATTGTCAGCGACCATTAAAGCTCAATGAGTTTTATTCATATTTATTATTAATAATAATATATTAATAATAGAACTCTTTATTATAGACCATAGAAAAACACAAAGAAACATGTAAAAAATCATAAAAATAGATGTACAGAAGGAGAAGTACCGTTTAGTCTAACAATAGTTATATTTCAATATATTGAATTAATGCAAGTGACTTAAACAATTTTTTAAATTCACAAATAAATAATAATATATCAAATCAATATAAACAACATGTCATTACCCATTGTACCTATTCTATAAATCAAGTCCACAAGTCTAACGGACTGGGTGAGTGAAGGCATAATGATGATCTCAGGTGACTTAAAATGGTATCATTTTAAAGAATGTAATTTTTATATTTTTTTTCTTTTAATTGAAAATAGTATAAATAGACTAGATAATTCCTCAATAATGATTTATTAAATTATTTAATAAATGCAATATAATAAAAATGTTTATATATTTGCATCAACTTTGTACCTGGCTGTGGTGCAAGAGGTCTTGGTTTATTGGGATCATTGTACTCCCAGCGCAGAGTGCGCCCTCCAACAGTTAACTCATCACCATGTCGAAGTGCTGCCACACTGACAGCGGCACCATTTACTAATGTCTCTCCAGCAGATTCGCTACGTACTACTGTCTGTAAATAAATTTAGAATATGAGTTTAAACAATGAGATGAAAAATTATAAATTTAATATAAGTAAATGAATAAATGTCTTATAATAAAAAATAACATTAGAGATTAAGAATAGTTAAGTAATAAAAAATATGATATTTGAATTGAGCATAAATTTTGAAATGGGCTAACAACGGAATAAATAAATACTTACTTGATTAGTATGAACAACCACAGTTGCATGATGAGGGCTAACAGTTGGCAGCATAACCCTTATATCACATACAGGATCACTGCCAATGGTAGCCAAACCCTCCTCTAAAGGAAAAGCCTTTACATCTCGCCCCAACCGATCTAATACAATTAGCCGGCCGCCGGACATCACTAATAAAGATATAGAAAAATATAATAATATAATCGAACAATCTACGTAAATTAAAGGAATTATCGTCTTCGTCGTAATAATGGGTTGTTTAGTGCGAATGAGTTCTTAAAAAATAAGATAATTTTAATGCAACCTTGTATTTTTATGTATAATTTATTACGTAGTTAGAAAATCATTTAAAAAATATTTTAATACTAAACATATTTTTTGTTTTCTAGAATCTCTGCCCTTACTAAATACCTATCTACTACTTAGTCTCGACGTAGGTATTTTGGTAATCTGTCAGTATGATAGTTGATTGATACTATTTCCCGCCACTTCTATTCAATATATTATGTAAATTACATATTACATGGAAATTCACTATAAAATAACAAAGGCACAATAAATAACTTGTACACATAAATTTAATTTCTAATTCAATTAATAAGTATAATAAATATAGTAAAAAATCTAGAACCGGGCTAGCGTCATTAACTGATTCAACAATATTTTCATAACTTACCGGTGTCAAATAGCTGATGTCAAGAAGATAAACATAATCAATCACGAACCATGAAATATTTGTTTATTCGCGTGTCACAGTACAATTTAACAAAATAAATTATAAAATATTTAAAAGCTTGAAAATTACAAGAAGCTTCAAGCTAAATGGCGTCACTTGCTCTACTTGACAGTTAAAACTTAAACAAATGCAATCTAAATTCTAAACATGGCGTATTTAAAATGGCGGACGTAGGAAATTTATTATTCGTCTATGGTAACACTCAAGCAAAGACTAAATATTATTACGCTTAAAAATATCACTTTATTAACATAATTATGTATTTAAATTAGATAAATTATACAAAATATATAACTGTATTTTATTATAACAAACTTTCTTCACCGGTTAATTTAAGGTTCGAATATATCGATATACAAATAAAATTAAATCAATCACAGATGACAGAAGATTATGCGAAGCGAAGCGGAAGCGACTAGCTAACGCCAATTGCCATTGCTATAAAGCGCTTTTTCTTTAAAGATTTTCAGTGGACAGAAGTTGTTTAAAGAAATCTTTATTATTTATTTAACTACAGCAACTAACCGTTAATGGTTGTTTAATAATGGAAGTCGGTAATCAACATAACCAAAGTTATTGGTTTGTAGTGCGGGAGGATCAAAACAATGTTATATTTAGTAGCAATAATTGTAACATACAAAACCCTCAAAGTTAGTAAATATTATTAATTAGATTAATATCCAAATGAAGTAATTTTTTTCTAATGCAAATTAAGAGTATGTATTAAGTTTCTAATGAATCTTGTTTCAGTTCCTGGACAAGAAGCTAGTTATATTGTGGATACCGGCGATAATAGAGAATACATTCAGGTAGATAGCACTCAAACTACAGCAACAGAACCTATTACAAAAACTAATACTAAACCACATCTTCTCATAAATGATGAGAATTTTTGGGATAGAAACAAAATCAAGCTCTTATTGACACTATGTCTTGATAGGAGATTTAAATGTCCTGATACTGATAAAATTTTATTTAATGAAATATCTATTTTAATTGGAACTACTCCTGAAGAGTGTGATAAAAAGTATAGAAGTCTTAGAAGAACATATGTAAGATTAATCAAAAAGAAAAGATTAGGCAAAGACATAAAATGGATTCATTTTGGTACTTGTGATAGTGTATTTAAACATTGTAAAACCTTATCTCCGTCGCTTCTAGAACCTTGGGAGGATAGTAAAATCAGGCAACTATTGAGTCTTTATATTGAAAATATCAACCAATTTCGCAATAGTGAGAGCTTACAAAAGGATATTTGGAAGGAAATAGCATCTCAATTAGATACCACAGAGTATAATTGCTATCATAAATTTAAAAACTTAAAGAGAACTTATTTTAAATGGGTAGAGAGGACCAGGGAGACAGGAAAATTAATTAAATGGCCTTATCACCACTATTTTGAAAGGATATATTATAATTATAGGCCTAACTTAAAAGCCTGGGATAAGAATAAAATTCGTTCATTAATAAATGCATATTCAGAAATTGCTCACAAGTTTAGAAACCCTAAATATCAGAAAAAGGAACTTTGGAAGGAAATATCACTTAAACTAGATGAAAATCCAAGCCACTGCGATAGAAAGTTCAGAAATCTAAAGCAAACATATATTCGATTAAAAAATAGATCAGATTCTGGTAGATCTATGATAAAGTGGAGATATTACAAGGACTTTGTTGCTTTATTTGATAATGGATCATATACAATTGTTGATGATGGACAGGATAGACCGTTACGTCAAGACTATGTTGAGCAATTGTTAACATTTTGTATTAAAAATAAAGAGAAATTTAAAGATCCCCTAGGAAGGAAAAGATTATTATGGAAACAAATAAGTCCTAAGTTGGGTCTAACTCCTGAAGAATGTGGCAAAAAATTTAGGAATTTGAAACAGACTTACATTAGGCTTGCAGAAAAAAAACGACACACTGGCAAAAACACTAGTTGGCCATATTTCTCATATTTTGAACAAATTTATGATAAAAAGGCACCTAAAAGAGACTGTCTTTACAAATGTAATGTAGAAAACTTAACTATGCCAGAAATACGACAATTGGTTAATAATATTCAATCAAAAGATACAGATAACTTTGAGAAGCTAGTCAGGGTTATAGAGGATTCCAATAGTATTCAACGTGAAAGGAACAGGATATTGCTAGCACTACTCAATAAGAAGTAATGGGAGAAAGTTTAAAGCTGTAGCCCAAAACATTATGGAGAGGCAAATATCTAGTTACTTAGTGTTGATCCCAGTAATACCTGTATCAAAGTAAAATATAAACAGTAGATTATAGAACCATGTACACACATTATAACACTAGTAATTATTTAGCATGTGTAATGCCAGGTTCACACATGCCATTTTTCTCGAACTTTAAATCTCTAAGAACACAATAAACCTACAAAAGCTAAACCAAACGAGCTCTGCCGCCACTTGGCTTGGCAAGCGCAAGCATGTGGATCTGGCATAAAGTAGCAAACTTTGTGATGTTCCTTAGCAAAATGTAGTATGTGTGTATGATTTATCTACACTTATAAATACTAGTTATCCACTTACTGACTTACCCTCGCTTCGCTCGGGCGCGGTCGTAGGTATAGATATAAATAGGTATTGTGAGTGTACCTTACTCATGCTATCGGACTTTTTTGTAGGCCTTTTAAGATCTACAATTATAATACTGACCAGATCAACATCGGCGCCGCCACTGAACGACTGGATTACTTACATCTAACTAAAGATTTTGTCTTCGCGGTCGCGCGTTACTTATATCGTGATATCTCATAAAGTATACGTCCAAATAACATACAGTAAGAGACCGAAATCATGTCCATTACATACTTGTGACGATGAATGACTTATTTTGATGAGAATAAATAATTGCTAATAATTTGACCAGACCAGTCAAACCCTTGTATATTACCTACATCCAAACTTCACCGCTTATTAATATTAGTATAGGCTAGCGACTTACTAGGAAATAAATATTTTAAATAGGAATAGTTATTGCAAGTGTACCTTAAAAATAAGACATAGCTATTGCAGGCTCTTCTGTAGGCTTTTGACAAAACATACAATTTCCTAGTACATTGTTTTGAGTTAGGTATCTCATAAGGTTTAGCCAGCGTTATTCCTGTAAACTAAAGACGATTTGGTAGATTCAGTTTTTGTGTTTTAAAGTGGGAATGAAATATTTTCCCGAAAAAGTATCCTGGATGCTGACTCGAGTAGGTACTTAGTTATCCTACACAAACTTTTGTTAAAATCGGTTCAGTACTTTTTGCGTAAAATGCACAGATATACAGACAAATTAATTCGATATCCTTAAGATGGGGGTGCATAAAAAACAGTCTCGCCATCTTTGGGAATCCGCTATATTGGATTTACAAGGTCACTTAACACTTCGCTTATTGTTTCACTCGCATTTTTGAAATGGGTTCGGCAGTTTTTGAGCTTAAAGCACTGAAACATATTATAAATATCAGTTTTACAATAATGTATAGAAGTCTGCCAGATTTGTTGAAATTTATGGGTAGTAGCATCATCTTTCTCAAACGGGCTATCATCTAATGCAATAAGAGTTTTTCAAATCAGATTAGTAGTTCCTGAAATTAGCGCGTTTAAATAAATAAACTCTGCCTCTTTATAATATTTGTATAGATTTTTGTTGTACACCGCTACCACAGTGTTGGTGATAGTATTGCAATTCGGCCCTGTCCTTGAAATAATTACCTACACGCGCCGTACGTAACCACGCGACAGGGCCGCCCGAGTGCCCACCGGCCAGTACTTTTAATTTCATCTACCTACTTGACTATCTTTATAATTTTGTGATTTCAAATATTATTTTTTTTATTGAAAAACTATTATTAGTAGATTTAATTAAAAAATTTATAACGGTGGTATATGAACCTTATAAATTTGAGATTGAAAAATATTTGCGCCTCGACTGAGAAGTACGAAAAGCTTTATTGTTAAATTAAATAGTATAAAGTATCCGCATTCTGATAAAAAAAAATAATTAAAAATACTTTAATTTTTATAACATACGATGCCTTGATACTTTTTTTTGTTTGACATTAACGAAGTTACGGGAGGAATAAAATGTTAATTTTTGTATTCAATTACAAAAGCTACATAACATAACCACCTTATACAATTTTCGTATCCAATTATACGTTCTGGCAGCCCCGCACGGTTGTCTACAAAGTGTATACCGAACTCTACGCGCGTAGGTATAATTCGATTTCCAACCGTTTGTATGAAGATGGAATACTGTATGTAATATTACCGTGCCGCTACAAACTCCACTATGCGAAAATATGTAGATAGCAATGTGCAATGCACATTGAGCATGATACCAAGTTGTTACAGTTTCGTAAGTAGATCTTGACAGCTAAGGTGATTACTTTTGTTGTATTACCTACCTAATACGTTTTTAATGGTCGATAATAAAATACTGATAAGGTCAATATACAATGTAGTTAGTACCTATTGTTCGCGAATGGAATTATGTACTTCTGTGTAGCATTTAAATGAATATATTATATAAAACCTACGAAATTTAATCAAATTCTGATTTTCTTTCATTTGCTGTAATTTGTAGTGAGGAGGAAAGGTAAAATGAAAAATCTCAAAGAGAATGTTTAGAAATGATTTTATTATTACGGCTCTTATGCTTTTATATGTATATGTACAAACAAACTATAATATTATCAGTTTTCATTCTGAAATGAGAAATCGTTAGCAATTCAATAACATGTTGACCGGCAGCTACTCCATTATAAAACCTTCAATGTCTAAACAAACATACACTGATTACTTATGTCTTAACTTAAAAAATACAACTGTGTGAATTTACTTATCAATAAGTTTGACATCAATAAGACTATACCACAGTAAGGAATGAAAAAAAAAATTAAGTTCAAGAAAAAAAGTTTAGAAATCACACTCGATCGTGACCGGGATCGATATATACCTCGACGGGTAACACGTTCACACGCAGTGTACACACGCCCACTCACACGCGCAAGATACAACGCTAACCTAACGAATTACCACACTAAGTTGTAAACTAGGGCCCCGCCAGTGGCTACAGACCTGCAATGAACGAGCCCGCCTCAGCGCAATGCAGCACTTCACTTTGTTTTGTTTAAAACCAAAATACATACAGACGTTTCAACGGCTCAATACCTAATGTATATATATGCTAATCATTAGTCAACATTTAAATACTGCAAATATAAAGTGCATCACTTGCCGAGGCGGGCTCAGGAGAGCTCCGAAACAAACGGATTACCTATGTGGGATTAAAACCAGGGCGAATCAGTCTTTCTGGAATTGGTCTATGGTGCGAGGGCGGGGCCGGGCGTTGGCGGTTCACTTTTTAGCGTTCTTCTTGGGCGACGGTGCTTTGCCTTTGGCGTTGTTTGACATTTTCGATTTCTTGCCTTTGGGCTCTCCCTCCTCATCATCTTCATCCTAAAATCAGATCACCATTAGAATCACATACATTACAATAACAACTAATAATGAAAGTTAATGAAAGTGACACTCTTTATAAGGCATACAAATCAAGCTATCAGAAGGTAAAGGGATGAATGAGTAGTACAGAAAACCAACAGCCAATTTTAGTTGAGTTCTGAACACATCCTCAACATTAAATTTTGCTAAAACAGGGGCCCACTCATGCCAAAATATGACAGCAGTATCATAATATATAATGTACAAATAGTAAAAATTTTCTAATTTCAAATGACTGCAGTGGTTTTGCTGCCATTATTTTGCAGAATTGGGCCTCAGGCCCTTTTCCCTCTGTTAGACATGTGGAGAATTTTATTAGTTGAAGGTTTTCAGTACCTCATTCGTCTTGCGTTTGCCAGATGGTGCTTTTCTTTTATTCTCATCTTCCTGTAAATTTAGTAATCTACTGAATCTCTTATATTAGTGCAACAGTACACTTTAATTGTTGCAAATAAAACTAGCCAACTTAATGTTAACTACTCAAAGAGTGTTTAAACATCTAAAGTAACTTAATACTTGAATTACTGAATCTTTAATTAGATAATAATATTTAAACACAAAAATATTTAAAAAGTATCATAACTTTTTACTATGTGAACAAATTTTAATAAAGCAATAAAATGAAACTTTAAAAAGCTTTAAAAATTATACAATAAGATGTGTGATAACTGTCAGAACACACCTTGAATTGAGCATCTTCACCTTCTTCTTCATCGAGCATCTCTTCTTCCATCTCATCCATATCTTCAAATTCTTCAACCAATGCACCCAGCAAATGTTGACCGATTAAATGTACTGGCCCTGATCCCTAAGTATGAAAAATGTTTTATAAGAATTGATTGCCTCAATTTGTAACACAAAACTAAAAGATATATAATAAGAAATCAGACAAATGCCTCAAAAAAATCATATAAAAGCAGTACATCATCAAAACGATTTTGCACACTTTTCATTACTATGGTTGTTTTATCATCATCTTGATTTTTTAAAGTTATGTTCATTACATTTACAAGAATAATTCTAAAAATTTATAAAACTTCAACTTTGCATATTAAAAACAATTTATTATTATTATATAGCAGTATATATATATACCTGTATGAGTGTAAAAGTGACTGGTGCATCTGGGAACTCAATGTCAAGACGTGCTTGCCGTGTCTCACCAACTTTAAGAATGGCCACAGGGATTTTGATAGACTCTTGGAGGCACATGGTCTCCACCTATATATACCATGAGGAAAAATGTATGTTGTCAATTAATTGAAAACTTTTCCAATTACTACAAATGTTTTTTAAAAATATTAATAATCAGACAAATGCCTCACACAATCACATTCAGCAATACCACCTCAAAACGAAATGGTAAAGCCATCATAAGAACATGGTGATTTTATCATCACTTTGACACAAAGCATTTCTTATTAAGTGTATTAAATACAGTCAATAATATCTTTACAACAATTGTTTCTGAAGTATACCAACACATGGTCTTTTCATTTATGAGAAAAGAATTACTAAAATTTAAATAACGTGAAATACCTGAACGACGTTGAGTTCATCAGCCTTTGCATCTGGTCCAAGAAGTGCTTGGCGTATGAGCAACTTATTACTGCGCGGGTATTCCGCTTTTGCCTCTGGATCCCATGTCTCCGATTTGTGTGAGGATGATAAGGTGACACCTGCAATGTAGCGTACGTATCTTAGATGAATAATTTAAATCATGACTTATACATTACTTCCAAACAACTTCAACATCTACGAAAGAATTGCTTAGGATTATTGAAGTAAAAATTTCAAAAATGAAATATACGCACAAGACGCTTGGACGCCATACTTTCAAATTACGCGCCTAAGCAGGCCGACTCCTCACAACGCACGTTTTAGATACAACTATAAGTAAAACATTGAAAGTGCAGATCAATAATACACGAAAATTTTGCAAGAGTTAACTAAATATGGAAACTTAAATCGCCATTTCTGTAGGTACAGATATTATTATCGATGTTCAATATCAATTGGGAAATGGCGGCAATAACTTTGAATATACAACATCGAAATAGGAAAGTTTAATTATTTAGAGCTAGATTTTATTAAACGGTTTAGAAAATATTATGATAAATATTATGTGTAAGAAATGCGTTGTGAAATAAAATGGCGAAGTAGCCGGGTGTCAAAGCTGGACACAAATTTCAACACTACAATAATTGCAAAGTACCAGTTTAAATCAGTAAATAAACACAAAACATAATAAAGAGTATTATCAAGAATTTTACTAACCATAGAAATATTCGTCCGACATAGTGATTTCACTAATTTATTGAGATTTTTGCGACACGTTCACGTGCGATGCCGGCGCACTCAAATCTGGAACCTGTGTTGCCATGCCATCTATCAATAAACAAGTCAATAGTCAATGCATTTTTTTTTCTCAATGGTCGAAATGTCGAAGTTATTAGGTTATTTCTACACTATCATATTTATGTGAAAGAGTTATTCTATACATATAAGCATATTTATTTTTGTTTTATACGATATCTACACACATATTTTTTGTTAGGCCTTACTTATATACAAAATATTGGTTTCATAACTTATACTATTGAAACCTAATAAATTAAACATTATATAAATAAATAAATATGTAGGGACATTGACACACATAATCATCTATTTCCATGGTAAGCCACGAGACTTGTGTTATGGATACCACATAGTTGGTACATTACACATATATAACTTTAAATACATACATATTATAAATATAAACTGGCCGGAGTTGGGTTGGAGAGTGGATTACAAATATTCGTGCTCATCACACAAATGAATGCCCCCAGTGGGACTCGAATCCGCGACCGCTGGCACAGCAAGTAGGGTCACTACAAACTGAGCCAAACGTGTTATGAACTTAATGTATTTTGTAATTGCCTGGATATGAGGTAATATTAGAAAATTTACGGATTTCATAATATAAATATCATTTGAAAGTGTTTGTGTAAACATTTGTATTTCTTATTTTCTCCAAGCCTTTCACTGACGGTCTATCATATATAAATCAGTCATAATATAGGTCGGTCATGTATAGATGATTGTTTTCTTTATTTATTATTAAAATTAATAGTAAGATGAACAACTTTCATTGTTATTGTCATCAAATGTTGCCTTTTTTAAGAAATATTTATCACATCAACAACCTCTTTAGAAAACAAAATGCCCTCCCCCTCTCAACCGCTACTCACACCTTAGGGCTTAGAGACTTGGCGGGCTATATCAATGACCTTAGTCCTTTTGTCTTCACAATTTGCAAGCAAAATTTTACGACTTTAGAATTAAATAACTCTGCGCTATCGCCTTGAGCTTGAACAAAAAAATTACTTTCCATCTATCTCTAGGTCTTTTATTCAACAATTTTTTTAAGTCTACTAAATCTCTCTCAAATCAAATCATTTTAAATTGTACTACAGAATTATCTAGCGGTTTACATGTGATTTATATAGTGGATATATTTCAGCAACGTTGATCAAATAGTCTTCGAGTAAAATGGCTGGAACATACAGATAGATGGACTGACGGACAAACGAACATTGATTTTGAAAAAGTATTTCAAATATATTAGGAAACTAAAACCTATAATTCTCCTTCTTTAATTGTTAGTTTGTCTATTTTTTTGTTAAATGGACGGAAATTAATTATTATTAAAATATTTAATCAATTTAGTAAAATGCTAATAAATAGCACAGATAACAAAACCGAGGCTTGCAGAATGGCCATTTTGTTCCGTTTTACATCCAAATTAAATGAACTTTTCCTATTGGCTGTACAAAATCTTGCTAGTATGTCATTGGACGAGTGAAAATTGTTTTCTTTCACCACCAATACTGTAAAATATATTTTGATTCCATCAATTTCATTGATGAATAGTTGGCGAGAGTCGAGAGACCGATTCAAATTGACATAAATTTATTTGTCAAAATACCGTATAAACATAATTGCCTTTAACTCCATTGTTTCTCTTATTCATTTTCTGTCCTATCTGCACCAGTTCATTTCATCTGGTTTGCTGAAATATTAACCTTTCCCTTGCATAGAACAGCATAACTGCATCTTTATGCTATTTCTGTTATCTCGTCGAGAGTGAGTGAATTGTATTACTAGCGTACCGTTCTTGACCTTAGACCATCCGTGCCTCGATGCATTTTTGTTGTGTAACAACGCCAAATATTAGAGACGAGCGATGCCAAGTTTTATATCGCTAGGTATTTATTGAGGGTGTAAATAAATCGGACACTTCCGTAGACACTTCATTTGTGATCTGTCAAAATTTCTAATTGGAATATATTATGGAGTGAATAGTGCTTATTGTTGCATTTTTTATGTATAAATTCGCTGGTGTAAGTGAACTTTAGTGCAGTGATTACTCTAAAAATTAAATTTTCGTATGTAATAGCGCGACTTTATTTTTAGGTCATTTGCATCTCCTAACGTGCACAATTATCGAAGTTAAGTTCAATAAACAATACATTCGTATTATCGACACAGCTGTGCAAATAGATTGGTATGAATAGTTGAATCTCATAAAATGCGAACCTCATAGTGGAAGCTTGTGATAAATAATCACATGATACAATTTATGGTACAATGAGTGAGGAGTCGCAAAATGATGGCAGCAAGAAAAGTCCATCATTGGCTGCATCAAGTGAAGCTTGTCTGCCAGAAGAGTGTGGGGCCCAGATTGATGCCTCTAGTTACACTTCACAAACAAATAATCCTCAGGCAAGTTCCTCTCAATCTAAATAATAATTTATGTTTTAATGTAGACATCTTTCATATTACTTAAATCGTGAAAGAATGTTGCAACATAACCAAAAGTATGTGCAATAGTACTATTTTTGTAGTTTTGAAAGATGAAAAAAATCTTAATACATTACAATGAATTTAATTCATTTCTATTTTCTGCTTAAACATTTGCCATTAATATAATGAGATATAGACTCATTGGAAACCAATATGTAAATTACAGATGACAGCAAGCTCCGTGCCACCCGACAGTAATAAATGGAAGTGTGAACTCTGTACATATGAGAACTTTCCACTCTCTCGAAAGGTATTGTTAAGTTTCTTATGTCACTATTATCATATACACAGAGAGTAATATATGAAATTATTGTTTCACCTTGTCACATATTGAATTATACAATTTATTTTGTCATAAAATTATAACATATAAAAATATATAGAAATATATATACATAAAATCAAAATAAATAATAAATTATATATATACAAACAAACATACTTAACTATTTTTTTTAACTGTGATATGTAATTGTAATATTTTATTTTTATTATCTTATAATATTGTAAAATATTTCATAAAGTATTAACTATATTTTACTAATTTTTGCAACAAAACTTTTACAATTATCACACATTAATCTTACTAATTACATATTCACCTTTTTGATAATCATTATCATAAAATTGTTTACTTCGTTTAATATATAAGTTTTAAGTATTATTGTAAGATTTGTTTTTGCTTAACTCTTCATGCAGACAAATCGTGCAGAATGCTGCCATACTGATATTTGGTTAATGACCAATTGGTTAATAACTAGATTTGGCAACTACCTGTGCTATAAATTAAATTCTAAATATGCCAAAATATACAAAAGTTACACTAAATGAATATTACTTCTTCATAAACTAAATGCTATAGAAAACATGATACACTTAATTTGAATAAAAATCTAGTGCTATGATATAACTAGTATTGTGTAATGTGTCTAGTGTTTTACTTTTACATTTGATGAGTCTATTTAAATTTTATGTGCCATAGTGTGAGCAGCAGATGCTAATCAAAATGTATTTTTTTTATTTCGAACAACTTATTGCTTTAAAAAGTATGATAAAAAATATACTTTTTATTTATGGTTTCCAGTGCACAATGTGTCGCACACCAAAACCTTCCCTAGGAGAAGATATATTCAAGTTGCAAGATGGCGCTAGTGCTTTGCCTACACAAGACGTTTGTGGTAAGATTAATTAGATCAATAATTTCACATTTTTTTTCTAGGTATATAATACAATAAACCATTGTCATTTTGGTTTTATCCTATGGTTTAAAAAAGTGACTTCATATTATAAAATGTAAAAAACATAAGTGAGTCATTAGCATATTATTAACTTTATTTAGGCTTTCTGCAAGCTATTATCATTTAGCTTATTTAGGAAGAAACAAACAAATTATTTATGCACATGTTTTGTTCAGTAATGTAAAATAGAAATTGTTGTAACCTTTAGATTGCTATAGGGTATTTGTCTATTTCAAATAACTAACTCTCATAAGTCACTAAGGATGTGTGAACTAGCTCAACTAAATAACACAAACTCATTTTTTTCCCCCAAATTTTCAGGAGCAGAGGCTGTGGCAGAGAGATTGAAGCCGCTGAGGATATCATCTCCGCAGGGCCAGGCCAGCGCCTCGTCTGTCACTAAGTGGCCATGCTCGGTTAGTTTTAGTACATTACATATTTGCATTATAATTACTAATGCGATTTTTCACCTTTTTTAGTTTCTAATTGATACATTCAGATGTGTGTATGTTAATATTGACTTTCTTAATTTCATTACATAATAAAAGAATAAAGGTGCATTAGTAAAAGGAAAGTTTTTAGTGCAATATCACAGTTATTTGGTTATATTATCCGAAAGTCAGGTTCACCAACTCTCGGTTCGTGCACCCTGTATTACTATGCATATAGACACTGAAAAGCTGAAAACTGAAGTCTGACAAGAGACTGTACTCATAACTCCCTTCAATGCGAGGGAGATCACGTCATAGCCTTGAACGCTGGCCAAGTGCAGGTTGGTGGACTGTACATGTCTTTCGAAAACTTGCTAGGTTCTCTAAGACATGCAGGTTTTCTCACGATATTGTCTTTCACCATTTGAATTCATTTTCTTTAGTGTACTTGTTATTCTCAGACGTGCACGTACGAGAACTGGCCGCGCTCCACCAAGTGCGCCATGTGCGGGGCCGCGCCTGCGCCCCCTGCCCGCGCGCCCCTTGGTGAGGCCCACTCTATTCTCAATGTAATCGATAAAAATTAAATGAAATGTGATACAGGATTTATATCCTGCAATTTGTAGTTTGAAAATCACAAATGTGTATTATATATAATTCTAGGCTGTTAGGGGGAGAGTCAATCACGTCTATCAATGTTATACAATAGATACAGTTTTGTTATAAGAAGTTTCGTTTAAATGCTTGGATGCTTTTTGTGTATATAATACTATATACAGGGAGTGCTATTAATTGGAAAATTTTATTATTTAGACTAGCTACTCACCCTCGCTCCGCTCGGGTTTGTTCTTACTTACATTTTAAAGTTTAGTATAGGTATCTCAGATATTTTCACGCAGTAAAAAGTATCTTATATGTTGACGCGGATAAGCAGCTATCATCATACCAAATTTCATCAAATCTGTCTAGTGGTTTTCTCGTGATTCCGTCACAGACAGACAGTCAACTTCTAAAAACTATAGGTTCAGCCTCTGTATCGATAATAATGACTATTTAAATAAGATGTTTGAAAAAAATATTTATTGTACAGATTCGACTCAGAATTTTATTATATGTATAGATTTTATCTACATAATGTACTAAATTCCACCCAAATCCGTCCAACTGTTTGCAGGAGTCACAACATTTATTACAGTGGTGTGATAACTTTTTGTTATAATTTAAAAACGCTTAGTTTAAACAGATAATAAATTAATTTACCGATATATTTATGAATATTAAAAAAGTCGACTAGGTAATTTAATATTTTAATACATTTAAATAACATGTTTTACTGATACTGATAATGCGCAGGCACGACCGACACCGGCAACGGCCAGGGCGCGGTGGGCGAGCGCGAGGCGGAGGGCGCGCGGCGCTGCCGGCGGCGCCACGCCGACTGGATGTGGCTGCAGGCCTGTCTCGGTACTCTACACTGCAAATATTACCACTACGATACATATAATACAAAAGATATATTTTTATACTTAAAATGTTTCATATTTACTAACAATATTCTTATGATGTGAAATGGGATATTTAATTTGCTGTTAATTTACATTCATAGTTTTCAACTGTTACAAGCAACATGGCTAAGAGTGCATGCGGGAAAACTTTTTGCTGGTGGATGATAATATTGTTTATTGGCAGATATACCCATCTATCCCCTTTACAATTCGTTTGGTTCTCTATTGCCACTGCCACTTTGACCGCTTGTAACGCAATTTGTGTTATACATGTACTCTTTGTAGTTGACACATTTTAACCATAGAATTCTAAGATCTTGCAAATTAACAGTTGATGTCGTGTCGTCGACTCGATATTTGGGAATACATAAAATTAAGTGATAATTATGATAAATGTCCCTTTTTATATTGTAAGTGGCTGATATGAAATTCACACTTAACTATACAATATTTTATATTATAAAGCTAAACATATTTTCGAATGTTCTTATTTTCAGCAACATATGGAAAGGTTAATAAATATGATTTTTATGGTTCTACTAATGTATTTAATTCTTAATTCAATATTTAAATTTTAACATGTTCGTTGCCAAGTTGAAATATGTGAATTTTGTCTCTATGGCCAAACCCCTAAAAAATTTTGTTTACTTTTAGATGTATAAGTGTTTATAATATAAATGCTACACTAGTAGGTCGTATATACGTGTGTGTGCGCGCAGGCGTGGTGGAGGGCGACGCGCGCTGCGTGGAGGCGTACCTGGCGGCGGGCGGCGACCCGGCGCGCGCGCTGGCGCCGCACGAGCTGCCGCTGCTGGACCGCGCCTCTGCCTTCGACGCCGGCCACACGCTCGTGCACCTCGCCATACGGTAGGTGCTCGACACACATACACATCCATTGTGTTATTGATAAGTTAATCAAAAAAAATATAAAACTGCTAAAATGGAACTTTTAAAGAGCCTCACGCTGACACCATGTCTATCTGTCAGTATGTCACAGTACTTCATTCATACTGTTGGGGCTATGTTGCTGAAGTTTAGTCAATAAGTGTCACATGTGTACTGTTAGAAAATTCTGTAATCAAATTACAAAAAATACAATAACAGATATTTAAAAAGAAAATTGATATTGGGAAATGCGTTTACGCATACCACTTTTCTGTATATAAGTGTTATGTGGAAGCAGCTAAAGAATCCTGTACTACCCGTTAAAACCTAAAGAAGCCTCCCCGTCCTAATGGAACACCGCAAACTCACATACTCGATATATACTCAACGATGATGCCAAATTTTAATCAGACAATTAATTAATACTTTCTTAGATTTTCGCGAATATTTGAAACTTTTAATAAAACAATCTTTTTGAATTTATTCAGATTTTTGGTTCCCGACGTTTCGAATACTTTAAAACGATTTTGTTCAAGGGAGAGACAATTAAATTTTTTTATGTGTAGATTTCAAAGACAAGAGATACTGTCGACGTTGCTGTCGAGGATATCGGGCGGGGGACCAGGCCTGAAAAGGTCTCCATCTTATGTTGGTAAGTATCTACATATGTAGTTAATCAATTTTTTATGAAATACAAAAATATAAAATTAATGCATTAACGATTCTACCCGAGAAATTGCCTGTGTTCGAGTTTGCGTTCTTTTAAATATCCCAGACAGCATTACATGGATGTGGTAAACTTCGTCCAAATCCATCCAATTTAATAATTTTCATGGAATCATAGCTCAAGGGATTCGAATGGAAGTCCTATTAATACAGTTATTGTTTATCGACTTGCCTGACGCGAGCGGAGTTGCGGTCTCAAATACTGTATAATACGTCGAATATGGATTTAACCGGATACGAATATTCGCCCGAATAATTCGGTTCATTTTCGCTCAGTGAACAAGTTTATAAAAGTGGGATTATGTTCATATTTTTTTTTATTTTTATCTTATAAATAAATTAATGGATGTATCGAATGCGAATAAAAGAAAATATTAAATACGCCAAACATACCGAATAGAAATATTCCATCGAACATTTGGCGTATCCGTAATAGGAATACTTGTGTGTGTTGATTATAAATACGGTGTTCGCAGCGCCGGACCTGGCCACGTCCATCCGGCGCCACATCGCGGCCAGCTTCCGCTATCGCAAGGGCGGCAGCTTCCCGTGCCGCTACATCAACGAGTTCTGCACTTTCTCGCTGCCCGCCGGTACGCTTTTCTTATTTTACTAATAAATTGGAGTGTTTGTTTGTAATGTCAAAATAAAAGCATTTTTACCAAATACATATGAAAGTTGTATTTGATATTTATAAGAAAAAAAAGCAATTTTTAATATATTTGCTTGTCTGTCTCTTTGTTCAGCTGATCTCCAAAACGGCTGAATCGATTTTAACGACATTATTATTGACAGATATTCGATGTTATGAGGAGTAACTTAGGCTACTTCTATTTTAAATTAGGGAAGTGCCTAATTTATAATAATAATGTAATCATCGATTCATATTATACATAGTTGATACATATGTTAAAAAGTAAAGATTCTATAAGTAAGTTTTTGTGAATATTATTTGTGGTCGCAGAGATCGAGGAGCTGCCGGCTGCGATCCAGGAGCAGCTGTTCTCGGAGGTGCTGGACCGCGAGGCGCAGCAGACGCTGGAGGCGGAGCCGGCGCTGGCGCTGAGCGAGGCGCTGGGCGCGCGCCTGCACGCGCTGTGGAACCGCTCGGCCGGCGACTGCCTGCCCGACGCCGTGTGCCAGGCGGCCTACGGCGTGGCCGACCGCGGCAACGCGCTGCGCGGCGCGCTGGCGGCGGCGCTGCGCGCGCCCGCGCTGCACGCGCGCTGGGCGGCCTGGGAGCGCCTGCAGGCCGCGCGCCTGCACTACGCGCCCGAGGATGCGCAGCTGCGCGCCGAGTGGGCGCGCCTGGCCGCCGCCGCCGCGCGCCCCGGCGCCGCGCTGCACCAGCTGCACGTGTTTGCGCTGGCGCACGTGCTGCGCCGCCCCATCCTCGTCTACGGCGTGCACGTCGTCACCTCCTTCCGCGGCGAGGCGCTCGGCTACGCGGGCTTCCAAGGTGAGAGCTCGTCTTTCTTCGGGCTGTTTTTGTTTGTTTGATTAGATGATAGATCTCCTTGATGCGCAAATAATTAAACTGTTATATTTTATAAATATATGCAAACTAACGCATAGTAAATATTGTAAAATTCATCCTACATTTTAATTTTTGACCGTTGTGGTATATGATTCATAAAAAGGAAAAACGACATCTATGAATATACACTACAAACACATCGTCTGATTGTTGATATTTCAATAATGATGATTTACGAACGCATTATTTCATTTCCCTTCACTTAAAATATTTTTAAAACAATAATACACCTTTTTGGGATCTATTTTTTTATCTTTTATTAATTTTAGATAACTTTAGTAACAAATCGATGAATGTAACGTCATCTATTAACATTTATTTGAAGTAATTTTTCTTTGGTCGTAATGAGACCCCACGATGATTGTGTGTTTGTGTGTGTGCAGGCATCTACCTGCCGCTGCTGTGGGAGCCGGAGTTCTGCTCGGCGTCGCCGCTGTGCCTGGGCTACACGCGCGGCCACTTCTGCGCGCTCGTGCCGCTGGAGCCCTACACGCAGCGGCACGATTACATCTGCCGGTACCCACACCCCCACCGCCGCATCAATCCGTCCTGAACGATCCTACTGAGTATTCAGTGACAGAAACACCAATAACTATGTAGTGAGTCTACCGGGGACTCGAACCGAGGGTTCAACGAGGCAGCAACATAAATATGATAATATCATCATAGTGTAAAAATTCATGCAGTAGACGGTTGCCTTTTGATTTTAACAGGTTGTTGGTAAACACTAGAGTGTAATATAATTGTCGCATCAGGTCCGAATGAACATGTATATTGTATAATATATAATCAGTATGTATTGTCTGTCTGCAGCGAGCAAGCGGAGGACGGTGAGGACACCACGTACCTGCCGCTCACGGACGCCGAGGGCAAGCTGCTGCCGGTGCACTTCCTCACCTGTGACGAGGTACAAACTCTTGTTGTACTTCATTATTTCTCTGTTCTTAAAGAACTTCAGAGAGTCGAATTGAATTCTTAGGGTAATTACTGTAAAGTCAATAAACAAACCAAATCGCAACCTTGCATGATAGGACAGACTATACCTCAAACGAAAAGAGCAACTATAATCTTTGTCTGTCTCATTCCTGCTTGGAAACTCAGGCTCTGGCGCGAGGCAGGCGGAGCAGCAGCTAACGTGTAACGTGTGACGATTTACGACATTTTAAATATTACTATTTTTTTATATTTGCTGCTTTACTGCAGTCACGGTGACGGGAGAGACTAAGGTTTTATAAATATGTGTGTCGCGGTTGCTGGCAGCTGGCGGAGGAGGAGGCGGTGGTGAGGCGCTGGGTGCGCGCGCGCGCGTTCGGCGGCGCGCTGGCGGCGGCGCAGCGCCCGCACGCGCGCCCGCTGCTGCAGGCGCAGATGCTCGAGGAGTGGCTCAACCACTACCGCCGCCTCGCGTGAGTGCCCTATACAACCTTATACACACACGCCGAACGCTCCCCGCTCTCCCAACCCATCCCTACACTCACGCCTCCCCTCTAGACTCGCTCCCTCTTCCACCTTTCCCCTCCACATTCACCCCTACACTAGGGAGTTTACGCCCACCCACACAAACTCCACATTTACGCCTAGCCTCCACACTGGCGCTCCCCATACTCACTTGTAAATTCACCCCACTCATCTCCAACACACCACCACACTTACACACATGCGAATTCGATTCTCAGGGTAAAGTTCACGATATGCTACAGATTTTCAAACACTACTTCAATCTTTTTTTTTAACGTTTTAACACGATAATTACTTGTCTTACGGTAAAGGAAAACATCGTGAGGAAACCTGCATGAACAAGAAAACTTAGCAAATTTTCGAAAAAAACATGAAGTTCGCTAGCCTGCATTCGGCCAGCGTGCTGGAGTATGACCTGATCTCCTTCGTATAAATCGAGACTCGCATTCAACAGTGGGACGTTATAAAGGGCTAAATATGTAGTATAAAGCGTGTCCGCGTGTCCGCAGGCAGCAGACGCGCGGCCCCTTCCCGCCGCGGCTGCGCGCGCGCGCCGCCTACTGCAGCGACGCCGACACCGACGACGAGTGACCGCCGCGCGCCCACGACCGCGCCCGCTCTCCCGCTGACCTCGAAACTATTCGTTTTTAACTTTAAATTATGTGGGGATTGTTTATTTATCATATTGTTGGTATGTTAGTGATATTGTTTTTTTTTACTAATCGAAAAACACTCAGACATAAACTTGTTTTGTTCTTATCAAATATTTTTATTTATTATAATTTAACCTAAATTCGTATGTAGTCATGTTACAGATAATGTATACAATTTTACGAGTTATTCGTTTTATGTCTGAATATATATTCAAATAAAATAACATAATAGTTTTAATGACGTTCAAATAATGAGGCTTGACTAATTATGAGTCGTTATTGTCGAATGTCGTTATAGCTCGTACTTGGGGCGCCCCCGGGGGCGGGGGTGGGGCGGCGGCGGGGGCCGCTCGGGGAGATGAGGAGTTAGTAATTACAATTGATATTATAAGAATTGAACTCTGCAAATCAGTCGCAGGCTTTGCCGAGTTGCGGTCAAATATATGTTATATTATAATTATATTATAGCAATATTTGCTTAATGTTCTACGGCGAGAAACTTGTAAAAATCTCTATTAATGTGATAATTGCTCATTTTTTCTATAATTCGGGAAAATGACCTCCCTGTAGAGAGCTAGACGGGCAACTTGACGTCTGGTCCGCGGACGGACGCGGACGGTTACAGGATAATCTATGAAACAACGCAATCGCAACCAAAATAGTAACAACCTACTTAAGTCACTCTTTTATTATCGTCTCAATTAAATAAAACATATAGCATAATACTTAGACGTTCATCGACCTACAAACATTACTGTAATGTGGTGTATTGTGAATGCGTGCATTACTATACATCATGTACAGTAATGCTCGCATTCGGTATGCGAGGCGATCGGGTGCAACGTTTTATAAAAATTATTATAGTCTTTAGATAACGTGCGCTTTTTATATTTTTTTGTTGTAATATGGATACTGCTATATCTCGCTTAACATCTCAAGCTTTTTTCTGAATATAAATGTTACTGTGTTTAAACAAACGCCGTTGTTAAACAAAGTATCGATTTTACAAACAAGAAATTCTAGTCAAGAATTTTGATTTATTCTAGAAATTATCTCATTTTGTTAAATATACAGTGAGTTTTAATGAATGGTCTATATTTTGGTAATTGTTACAAGCACTAGACCACTAGACATAGCGGGTTGATGGCATACGCGTAACATGCCACAACTCCTACATTTTGCCAATTATATAATTAAAGCTAAAATATTCCCTCAACCCAGATCAAAAAACGTAAGGGACTTGTTACATCAAACATGAAACAGTTATGTTGCGCAAATCAAATAGTTACTATGATTTTTTTTTATTTTACTAATGGCTTAGTTGAGCCTCAATGTTTTTTTATTATTTCTGTCCTACTTTCTAGTAATATTGGCAATACATATATCTGTATTTATATTCCTCGCCTATCTCTTTCCTAATAATGGTATTAAGAAAGAGACAGCAATAGCCGTCTGATATTGGCAATGGATACCAGTCTTTTTGGTACTTTTTGTCATTTAGCTATGTGAAAATTATTCAATATATTTTTTATGTTTTGAATAGTTTACTTGTTTAATTATATATTCGACCCCGATGTAATGTATGTTACGTTAGTTCGTATTTAAAAATATTTATAATTCTTTAGTAATTTAAATAAAATAATCAAAGTCAGCAAAGAAAATCCTATTCAAACTGAATTTTGTGACAAAATGTTGGGAATGCTTTTTCTGAGTGTATTTTTAAAAACTTTACAATATTAGTACTAAAAGCTCTCAGCATTTCGTCGACGTTAATAATAGTACATATATACTAATCATTTAATTTCTTACAACACTTTGCAACATGTCTCTCATTCGAATATAACTACACTAATAATAAATAAAAACTTAAAACATAGTGTAGATAATAATGAGTACAGAAATAAAATTTTGAGTGTGATTACACTGCCACAAAATGGAGACATAAATTTTGGTGGTGGTGTCAGTGTGTTCTTTTCGAATAAGACGGAACTATGATTAGATATATCGCTATCCCTTTCTAACATATACTTCTGTCTCGCTCGCCTCATTTTCAGCCGGTTGCAAAGTGTGTACTTAAAACCATGTCCATAACATAGCGCAAGTTAGAACTATATCACACTAACTCCATTAACATAGTGTATAGCCAAATTGTATCAAAATGTTTGAACAGTTAACGTGACACCGTACACGGTGTCCGGTGTCACCCAGCTAAGGGAAAAGGTCAAATAAATGATAAGGAGAGTCTATTACATATTTTACGATATTGTACAGAGAGTATAAGGTTCTAATATTTATTGTGTTTTCGGTTATGTAAATATATGAAATCGGTTTGTGTATATTGATTCTAGGTGTATAGATCGCTAATACCGGGTAGACTTCGCCTTTCTGTACGACTTTATAGTTTAAGCTAGCCGCTAGCACTTGGTGACACGCTGAGGGTGCCGTGAGAGCAATACCGGAGAGAGAGCTAAAATTTTATCTGTTTGCTTATTTATAATCTTAAACCAACGCTACATAAAAAAAACAAAACAGTTATTTTTCCGTAATCTCTTAATTAATAATAAAATCCCTTGTTTTTTATTAATAATCTTAATAAAATTTCAACGAATACAACACAGAGAGTAAAATTTAAATATAAAATTATTTACATTACTACTGTATAGTTCTCACGCATACCTACAGCTTTAATTCGACATAGTGAAATCGAATCTTAGACTTTTCATTATTAGTACAAGTAAATTAACAGTTTCATAGTTTATTCTTAAGCACGTTCATGTTTTCCTAATCCATATGTTTAGTTTTCCCAAAATTGTAAATATGTTTGTGGATGATTTTTCACTCTGTTGTTTAAGTGGTTTTTTTTGTTTAACAAAACACGTACAATTTAATTTTTAATTATGTACCTATAATGCCTACAAAAATTAATCAATAAAGCACTTATTTTATGAAGCGTTCATATGTTTTCTTTTTTTTATGTACCCTTTTTTTGGCTTAATTTTTATTTTTGAGTGATTTTAGTCTCAATAATTCATGATGGTAAAACACTTTTTTTAATTTATTCGGCATTAATTACTCAACTCTAATTATTATTCAACTCCGAGTATAACGAAAGATAAAATTTTGCTTAGTCAACTGGCCATACTTTGATAATAAAAAAATTGTTGTAAAGAAAAAATGTTTTAGTAGTCTATACATATAATAAAATTCTGAGTCGATCCACATATTAAATATTTTTTTGAAAATTTTATTGAAATGGCCATTATTATTGACACAAGCCGAATCTAGTTTTTAGAATTTTAGTCTGAACGCATCACGTGAAAACTACTGGACAGATATTGATGAAACTTCGTATGATGATAGATGGTTATCCAGGTAAACATATAGGATTCATTTTATTGCGGGAAAATATCTCATCCCTGAGAAATTAAATCGAACCCATAAAATGTAAATATGCATCTAGGGACGAACCCAAGCGGAGCGAGGGTGAATCGCGAGTAATTTATAATTCCGAAAGTGTTCTATTTCTTTTAGTTAAAATGTCAATTTTAAACTTACATATTACCAAAACGAATTAAGTAGGAGTCATTTAGTGTTTCGATTAACTGCTAATAAAAAGATTATCGATTTAAATATAAAAATAGATCCATAAAGAAAATTCATAGTAAAAGATGTCAAGACCGAGTTTGTTACAACTTAATGTTGCGAGGCCACGAGTACCAGCCAAAAGAAATTTCTTTATTCTTATATATCATAAACAGCATAAAGATAAAATATTTATTTTGAATTAAAAACGACGTGAGGCTGAATTAAATTTGTAGTATCGCGAAGGTGCACTGTATACAGTGCACTGTTGTCTGTTACAATGAAGGCCTTGCCTTCACGGGCGTGATAAGAAACTGAACGTATTCACCCGGGCGCAACTTCCGAACGCACGCGCGCCAACTGACAGCTGCGAGTGCGGAGTGCGGCTACGGCCTACGAGTGTCGCTCGCCGCCGCCGCCCGGCTCCTGCCAAATATTTTATATTAAATGAAGGATTTAACGCCTGTAGTTGACTATTGCGAGGATATTAGTGCTCATGTGTAAATGCTTGTAATTTGTGATGAAGCTGAGGGAACACTAACGACTCTCGTGTGTAGGATCGACTAACTCTATCAAGATGGGTGAGTACGCCGGTATTTTATTTGTACCTTTTTTTTGTTCTATAACCTTTCTTTTCAAAGTGCTAAAAAATTATAGCAAAGGCTCCCGACCTACTTTATTTATTAGATAATACGTTTTAAATTTCTTATTGGTATTTATCTTGTGTTTCGCTAGCGGCGTGTTGTTTTGTTGAAAATATCGATTTTTCTCATGCGTGTTTTCTCCAAAATATAAAAATTAATTAATTCTATATGTAATAACTTTATATTGAATATACAACTAAAATGACAACACAATAAAATACATTATAAATTTAAAAAATAATCAGTTACCATTTCTAGTAAATAGGTTGAATTTCTCTAAATTAAGTTCAAAAACTGAGCAAAAATAATAAAATATTATTTTTTTTAGAATTAAATAAAATATTAATTCTAAAAAAAAATATAAGGAAAATAATTTCATTCATCTTTTTCATATTCTAAATATACTTTGTCTAATTCTGACACCAGCTGATTAACAGATCTGAGATCATATATAATAAAGTTAGAGAGACTTTACTAAGTGATTAGAGTGATGGTGTCAGGTGATTATATCACAGCATATAGGTATATATATATATATATTACTAATAAGTTTGTCCTTGCGCCACCACCACTGGGAAGCTAATTTCACTTTGTAGCTAACTGTTTATCATTACAATTTTAAAAATATATTTATGAAAAACTAATGAAATTATTGTTCATGGCTAAAATAACTCAAAACTTCCATAAAGTAAATCTAACTTACTCATCT